GAAGGGCTGGTGGAAAGCTGCAGCCTTTTAAAGAAGACACGTCTTTTATAGGTCCTCAGTGGAGAAACTGAACTGTTTTCAATAGCCAAACTCTGATGCTACTAGATTCTTCATTATTCATAGGTGGCCCCACTCCCTACACCCTAAGCCTGCTTCCTGTTGGCAAAAATCTGAATGCTTCTGGACGCCTGTGAATATGACAGCATCTGGTGTTCTGAGGACTTAAAATACAGCAAATTCATGTAATGAAACTGCTTGCTAAACGATCTACTCCAAGGAGCTCTATCTTTCTCCATCTCCAGCAGCTTTTCTGCCCTTCAGAATGTCACCCCTCAAGGTTATGCAAACCTCTCCCCTAAGCTCAGCTTCCTAATACTCTTTGGAGGGGAAAAGGGACTCCAGTATTTGGGGTTAAAAGGCTTCCTGCACATAGAATAAAAATTTAATGAGAGATGGGGACTGAATCACCAGAAGACAAATCCAACTGAGGAAAACACATCGGAAGGGGATGGAGGGCTTAGGCCAGACACTAGTCCCTAAATGACCTCATTTAGTCCTCCCAAAAATTCCTATGAGTATACATTTCATATGTAGGGGGGAAAAGCCTCAAAGAATTGAAGTAAATGTTGCAATACTGAACAGAGAACAGAGCCAGGATTTGAACCAGGCCTGTTTGACCATGAAGCCCATTCCTGTACCATAAGCCTCTATGTTCCTGAATATAATAATCACCCCTAGGAGAAGGACATGCAGATTTTTTTCATGGCCGCAGCAGGGTTGTTTTGGTTTTAGGCAAAATTAGTATTTAACAGCTCTGGGCTTCCACTCTCAACCTGTGTACAAAAGGAAGGTTCATGGGGAGGTAGGATAGGGGAAGAAAAGTGGGCTTCCTTTTCTTCCTCTTCAGTTACAACTGTTGAACACAAAATGGGAGCCAAACCTTGAATCAAATTCAAATGTGGGCAAGTCAAACTCTGGGTGTGCCCACACTTCTATGATTAAAATGCCCTCTGCAGGAGGGTGTGGATAAGCTCTCAGCCTACCCTCCAGCTGTTATCCCAATTATTCTCTTCTACCCAGAATGAAAGATGTGAAACTGCCATCCACCTAGCTAATTCTGTATCCTGAAGGTCCTCATCCTATGCAGACAATATTTGAGGAAGTAGGAAAGGGCCACTTAGCCAAAGACAGCATGTTACTTAATAGCCCAGAAATGAAACCACTTCCTCGTGTCATTATGTGTCCCCTCTCTGGTATGTCTTGGACAGGATTTTGCCTTCAATACACATATTGTGAATAACTGACATATTCCTTATTTAGAGCTAAAAGGTAAGAAGGAAATATTTAATGACTCTTAGTTATGGCTGAAGAAGAACAAAAAGAGGCCCTGGGCCTCTAAGCAGAGACCCAAGAACAGTTGGTAAAGAGAGAGAGTTAATTTATAATGGGTATTTTAGGAGAGGGTCCTGATGTTTAGAGAGTTAGAGGAATCTTATAAAAAATGTAGCTTGACTTGGAATTGTATCAGAAATCACAATCAGAACTCGAGATCTCTGGTCAAGATGGTGGCGTAGGCAGACGTGGCTTGCCTCTTCATACAACCACATCAAAGTTTCAACTAAAATGTAGAACAACCATCACTCAGAACTGTCAGAAATCAAGTTGAATGGAAGTTTGACAATGAAGGAATTAAAGAAATCACATCCACCAGACTGGTAGGAAGAACATGGCACAGAACAGGCTGGCCCCTCACCTACATGTGGTCGATAAAAATTGGGGAGGAATATCTCAGGAGTGAGGAGTGCCAGCCTCACATCAGGCCCCCCAGCCCAGGGTTCCAGTGCCAGGAAGATGAGTCCCCACAACATCTGGCTACAAAAACCAGCAGGGACTCAGTTGTGAAAGAAACCCAAGCAGATCCTCTTAAAGAACCCAGATACAGACTCATCTACTCAGACTCATTCCCTCTGAGCTCCAGCACCAGGACAGCAGCTTGAAAGGCACCATTGGTATAAACAGAGAAACTGAAGTATCTGGTATCAAGGTAAACAGAGGCCATTGTCCCTTTTCTAAACCCTCCCCCCACAGAGCCAGAGCTGGCAAGCTGGTGCCTTATCTGGGATTCCATCAACCTGGCTAACACTGTTTGGCCCAACTTTGGAGATCACCAGAGACTCTGTCCCACCCAACTTATGGGCCCACCCAAGCTGCTTTTCCATATGAATGGCTGGACTTGGCTCATGCTTCACAAATTCCTTAATCCTATCAAATAAGCAACAGCTGGCTTCAGTGACCCGCCCCCCCCCCGCCCCCCAGGCCTGGCACTAGCAGCAGCCAACATAGATTCACAGCTTGGCTCTGCCTGGGAATCTCCAACCCCAGTACAAGTAGCAGCCATCTCAGATTGCTTTATAGCTCAGGCAGGGTGGCCCCAGGCAAAACATAGGTGGAGGCTGACCTTGGCCTGTACCACCCAGGAACCCCCAGGCCAGTGCACACAGTGGTCAGCTACAGACCACATTGTGGCACCACCACCCTGCCCCTGTACAGCTCATCCTCCACGGAGGGCACTGGTTGGTGGTCAGTGGTCACAGTTAATCCTTGCAGCTGACTGCCCTGGGTAAATCCCTCCCATTGATCTCCCAACAGCAACCAAGGTTCAACTGCAAGAGGAGGTGTACTCAGCTAACACGAAGGGCACACCTCAAGTACCTAGCTTGGGTGATAGGGGAGGTTATGCTACTGGACACTACAGGACACCTACTACATTAGGCCACCCTACCAAGACACAGAGTCAGCCCTTGCTGGTGTGGCTCATTGGACTGAGTGCCAGCCTGAGAAGTGAAACATCACTGGTTCAATTCCCAGTCATGGCACATGCCTGGGTTGCAGGCCAGCCTCCCAGTTGGGGGCATGTAAGAGGCAAATATTCGATGTATCTCTCACACATTGATGTTCTCTTCCTCTCTTTCTCCCTCTCTCTAAAATTAACTAAATAAGATCTTTTAAAAAAAGGCACAGAGTCAGAGCATCTCTACCTAGTATGTAGAAACAAACATAAGGAGGCTGCCCAAATAAGGGGACCAAAAAAACCCCCAAAAAACAACATTACCCAAATGAAAGAACAGATCAAAACTCCAGAAAAAGAACTAAACAAAATGGAGATAAGCAATCTGTCCGATGCAGAGTTCAAAACACTGTTTATAAGGATGCTCAAGGAACTTAGTAAGGACCTCAACAACATAAAAGAGATCTATCTAGTCAGAAACAAAGGATGCACTAATTGAAATAAAGAACAACTTACAGGGAAACAACAGTAGTGTGGATGAAGCTGAGAATCAAAGCAATGATTTGGAACATAAGGAAAAAAAATAACCAATCAGAACAAAAAGAAAAAAGAATCCAAAAAAATGAGGATACTATAAGCAGCCTCTGGGACAACTTCAAGAGGTCCAACATTCACATCATACAGGTGCCAGAAGGAGAGAGAAAGAGCAAGACATGAAAATCTATTTGAAAAAATAATGAAAGAAAATTTCCTTAATTTGGGTAGAAAATAGACACGCAAGTCCAGGATGCACAGAGAGTCCAAAACAAGGTGGATGCAAAGAGGCCCTCTCCAAGACATATCATAATTAAAATGCCAAAGGTTAAAGATAAAGAGAGAATCTTAAAAGCAGCAAGAGAAAAGCAGTTAGCTACCTACAGGGGAGTTTCCATAAGCCTGTCAGTTGATTTCTCAAAAGAAACTTTGCAGTCTAGGAGAGATTGGCAAGAAATATTCAAAGTCATGAAAAGCAGGGACCTACAAACAAGATTGTTCTACCCAGCAAAGCTATCATTAGAATGGAAGGGCAGATAAAGAGCTTCCCAGATTAAAAAAAAAAAAAAAAAAACCAGAAGAGTTTATTATCAACAAACCACTATTATATGAAATGTTACAGGGACTTATTTAAGAAAAAAATCAAAACTATGAACAATATGGTGATGGGTAAATGCAGACAACTGTAGTTAAACAATAATAAAATAATAAAATAATAATAAAAACTATGAATAAAATGGCAAAAAGATACATATCTATTAACAATTTTGATTCTAAAAAACAAACTAAGCAAACAAGAACAGAGACAGAATCATGGATATGAAGAGCATTTTGATGGTTGCCAGATGGGAGTGGGGTGTGGGGGAGTGGGTGAAGAGGTGAGGGGATTAAGAAGTACAAATAGGCAATTACAGAATAGCCGTGGGGATGTAAAGTACAGCATAGGAAATAGAGTATCCAAAGAACTTATATGTATGACCCATGGACATGAACAATGGTGAGGGGGGATTGCTTGAGGGAGTGGGGGATACTGGGCGGAAGGGTGCAAAGGGGGAAAAATCAGGATAACTATAATAGCATAATCCATAAAACATAATAAAAAAAAAGAAATTGTGCCACAAATGAGAGAACCATGAAAGACCTCTTTATCCTGTGCTGAGCAGCTAAATGGGAAAGATGGGATACAGAGGATGAGGAAAGGCCTACAGTAGTCAAGGAAAGGAGAAGTGAGCTGAACCCAGGCTAGAAACAGGAGCACAGAACCAAAGGATTTTTAAAAAACTAACCCTATTACACCTGACAATAGTAATCAAAAGTATATGAACCTCACATTTCAGGCCAAGAGTTAAATCAATGGCTATCCACTTTGGCAATCCATGAGTATAACTTCTGAAAAAGACAAATGCCCAAGCTCCACCCAGGAATTCCAAGATGCCTCTGGTGTGCCTCAGTAGAGTTACCAGCCATTCTGATACCCAGCCAGAATTAAGAAGCACTGGGTTAAATCCTGGAATGTATTCCTACCCCACTTCCAACCCCTCCAAAACTTTCCCAGGGCCAAAAACAGTTCCCAATAGGTTAAGTCACTGTGGCTTTCCTCCAGTCACTTCAGCTCTTCGAGGATAAGTTCCTGACCAACGCACCACTCACCCTCAGCCAGTGTATAAAAACAGGATGATTTCCATAAACCACATTTATTCAGGGATAATGTGCCAAAGGAATCATTTAGGTTGGTTTTTATTTCTGTGATTCTTTCCAGTAACTCATCCACAAAGAACACCATTCAAGCTGAGGGTCTGATCAGATAGCATGCTTGACACTGCTATGGCAGCTCAGCCAGGGTCCCCAGAGCCAGTGTCCCACTGCAGAGGCGTCAAGTCCATGCTCCTCTCATTGAGGCCTATTCTTGCAGAGTTGCCCCATCTTTCTGCCAGGCTATGAGCCTTCCATCTTCAGCCCTTGACCAACAGATGAGGCAGGAGGACAACTGGAGGGTGGGGGGTCTGTAACAACTGGTGCAGCGACTCAGGACACACAGAGGAGGGTCTCTGCCACTCCTAAAGGTGAAGGGAACTCTCATTTCTTCTTAAAAGGCTTACTCTGGTTTTGGCATTTCCCCAGCTGACTTTTTGTCAAGTGGGTTATTCGGTCCTGACCTCAGAGAAGGCCAAACTGGGTGCTACAGGGAAAGGGAAGGAAGAAACACGAAACACATTTGTAAAAGTATTTAAATCATAATAGTTATCACCTATTGAGCTCTTTGCATCTATGTGGCCCAATTCTCAATTTCATATGTATCATCTCTTTTGATCCTCAGTACCTGAGAGGTAGGTATTATCATTCCCACTTATAAGGATGAGAAAAATGAGGCTCAGAGAGGCTAAACTACCTGCCCAAGTTCATCTAACTTCTAATTCAGAGTCAGGATTTGGACCTGGGTCTGTCCAACTCCAAAGCTTGTGATCTTGGCCACTGTGCTGTACAAAGAAAGGGGACACAGCATGGTGCCTCTTCATTTAAGTGAACTTAATTCCAGGAAAAAAATCAAAGATTCTATGCTACCTCTGCTCCCTATCAGATAACACCTCTATACCTGAGGTCTCAAACAAGTAGCCTACAGGCCAGAATTCACCCACAGACTTATTAATTTGATACACAGTGTTTTAAAATAACTTGACCAGGCCCGGAAGGTCTTTGAGTTTGTGGCCCTGGCCTCTCATTGCACTTGCTTTATTGGATCCATTTCAAGAGGACAGAGGTGCCATTTTCTGCAATTTAAATCACAAGCACCTAGCACTAAACATGGGGAGGGTAGCTTTTTTTCTGCCAAAAGTATCACCCAGGTGGGTGAACACTGCAGTAGCCACAAGGCAGCTGTGTCAGTAGGTCTCTGAGTGGCAGGAAGAGTATTACTGTAGTATCACATGGCAATAATGGGAGAGGGATGGTGGAGGGAATGAATATATTCAACTACAACTTCAGAGTGGATATACTGTTTCACTTGGTGGAACCAGGCCAGGTCTCTGACCTTATACTTCCCTGGCAGAACCTTTCTCTGCTGCAGTCACCAGGGAGTCATGTGTCCTCACTGCTGGTTCAACAGGAACAAACACAAGCCATCGCCTGCCCCTACAAACAGAGGAGGCTGGCCTTCCTGAACGCAGCAGAACACTGCACTCTTCAAGGTCTGGTGCCTATAGTCTACAAATAGCATCGTGTCCCTTGCCAGCTCACTTCTTTTGTCCTTACCCCTGCTCTTGACACTCCAGGTGCCTTTTCTAGGTGCTGTACTTCTCTGGGGAATTGAGCAAAGAGGAAGAAGAAATCAGACCCCACATTATGATATGGAATTTTGCATGCAGCCTTCCTAGCAGTTGGATTATGTCAAAGCATAATAAGTCACAGAATAAAAAAATCTAAGAGTTGGAAGGGACCTTTTGATAGAAAACAATCCCTTGCAACACAACGATTAACCAAGGGTCTATGGCATCCTCTTTATTAGGTTGTATTTAACCTAAGAAAGGATATAAGGATCTAGGGTGCCCTCTTCACTAGGTTCTACTGATGAGGCAGAGGCCCTTTGCCTACCCCACAGTAAAGGTCCCACTTTCACCACTAAAATCAATCACCTCTAGCCTTAAATCCCCATAATACTTCAGTTGGGCAGGAAGGCAATTTGAGAATTACTCTTACATCTGGCCAAGTTTCAACTTCTGACTTTCTTACCACTTAGAAAAATCTCTGCCCTCAGCAGTTACCTCCCCAGGTGACCTAGCCACATCCACTCCCGAGAGGCTGCCACATCCTTCCCAGGTCCTCCCAACCTCCAGACACCTAGCTCAGCTGGGCCCAGAATCATCTCACCATTGTCATGTAGGTGGCCTCTGATTTCTCACTTGGTTCTTCTTCCTCTATCACCTCCCGTGTAGTTATTGAGGAATAAACATGGTTCTAGAAGGGAAAAAATGGTATAAATGTTCCTAAAAATCAGCAGATCTTCTATGACAGAGAAAAGGCCATCTGCTAGTATTCACAGGGCATCAGCCACCAAAACTGGCAGGTTCAGGGTGATACTGAAAGCCAGAGAATTATCAACAATAACAATAATTCAGTCCTCAGTGTTCCACAAAATTAGGGAAATTAACTTGTCAGCAAAGAGCACTTTATCTTAAGAACCAAATTCTTTGCTTCAAAAGCCAAACAGTCTTTGTTTGATAGGTGTTTGGGTAGCAGCAGGAATCCTTATCTTGACAAATTATATCTACTCTGTGGTTATTTCCTACTAATTAGAGTCATGGCAGGATGGCTGGCATTAATCAGCAGCTAATTTGTTGTCAACTCTTTCAGAGTATTTATATGGCAGGAACAGCCCTCTCTGATCTTCAGTTCTGTGGGATGGGGGTACTTTGTGATTCCCACTTCTGTCATTATGTGGGGAAGTAATGCTATCCAGTGAAAAATTCTTGGGCTGCTGGAGGCCCTGCATTATGCTGTGAGAACATCCTATTCTTGGGTCACAAATAGACTAAAAGATGGAAAGGTAAATGTTCCAAAAGGGGAAAGAAAGAAAGAAAAGAAAGAAAGAAAAAGGAATTCAAGGAAATGAATCCATTTCTCAATTTCTAGTAGTAATCATTCATAGCTCCATTACAAACTAATGTGGAAGAGAAAATGCTTTTTGATCCTCTCTTTCTAAAGGCCCCTGAATACTTAATCTTGACCATTAACTCCTTCACTTAACTCCCAAATGTATCACAATTCTCCTTTGCAGTTACACATTGTCTCACAGACTATGAAACACTTGCATATTATGATGTTATTTGAACCACACAACAGGGCAAATATGTTTGTCCTTATCCTGGCTTTATTGATGAGAATGCTGAGGCTCAGGGAGGCAGCAGAGCCAGGCTTGAACTGGGGCTTTCTTTTTTTCCCCCCTCCAACCTACACACCCTCTCCCACTCACATTCCCCCCCTTCAGTTCATGTCCATGTGTCGTAAGTTCTTCAGCTTCTCTATTTCCCATACTATTCTTGCCGTCCCCTGTCCATTTTCTACCTACCATCTATGTTACTTATTCTCTGTACCTTTTGCCCCTCTCTCCTCCTCCCACTCCCCTGTTGATAACCCTCCATGTGATCTCCATTTCTGTGGTTTTGTTCCTGTTCTAGTTGTTTGCTTAGTTTCTTTTGGTTTTGTTTTAGGTGTGGTTGCTAATGATTGTGAGTTTGCTGTCATTTTACTGCACATGTTTTTTATCTTCTTTTTCTTAGACAAGTCCCTTTAACATTTCATATAATAAGGACTTGATAATGATGAACTCCTTTAACTTGACTTTATCTGAGAAACACTTTATCTGCCCTTCCATTCTAAATGAAAGCTTTGCTGGATAGAGCAATCTTGGATGTAGGTCCTTGCCTTTCATGACTTGGAATACTTCTTTCCAGCCCCTTCTTGCCTGCAAGGTCTCTTTTAGAAATCAGCTGACAGTCTGATGGGAACTCCTTTGTGGGAGACTGTCTCCTTATCTCTTGCTGCTTCTAGGATTCTCTCCTTTATTTTTACCTTGGCTAATGTAATTATGATGTGCCTTGGTGTGTTCCTCCTTGGGTCCAACTTATTTGGGACTCTCTGAGCTTCCTGGACTTCCTGGAAGTCTATTTCCTTTGCCAGAATGGGGAAGTTCTCCTTTATTATTTGTTCAAATAACTTTTCCACTTGTTGCTCTTCCTCTTTCCCTTCTGGTACCTCTGTAATTTGGATGTTGGAATGTTTAAAGTTGTCCTGGAGGTTTCTAAGCCTCTCTTCATTTTTTTGAATTCTTGTTTCTTCATTCTTTTCTGGTTGGATGTTTCTTTCTTCCTTCTGGTCCACTCCATTGATTTGAGTCCCAGTTTCCTTCCCATCACTATTGGTTCCCTGTGTATTTTCCTTCATTTCACTTAGCATAGCCTTCATTTCTTCTTCTAATTTTCAACCAAATTCAACCAATTCTGTGAGCATCCTGATCACCAGTGCTTTGAACTGTGCATCTGATAGGTTGGCAATCTCTTTGTCACTTAGTTGTATTTACTGTGTGGAGCTTTGATCTGTTCTTCCATTTACACTTTTTTTTTTTTTTTTGGTCTTGTTGCACCTGTTACAAATGAGAGGTGGAGCCTTAGGAGTTCATCAGGGCGGGTCAACCCCTGTTGCTGGGTTGTGATGGATTGGGTTGTGATGCTGTATGTGGGGGAGGGGTTCAAGAGGGAACAATGGCACTCGCTCCGCTCTCTGTTGGATTTCAGTCACTTCTGCTGCTTCCCCCAAGCAAACTGGGCCCTTCTGGTGCTGATTCCCGTGTGGGTAGGCTTGTGTATGTTCTAGGACCCTGTGGGCTTCTGCAACAGACTCTCCTGTGAGGCTGGGAGTCTCTCCCAGCACCTCAACCCCCCATAGGTGTTTTCAATTGGTGTTTTGAGGCTCTATTTGCCCTCAGTGGGACCCTGGGCTATACGGTCTGTCTCACTTCCCAGTTTCGCCTGGTTTATCTGTGAGCAAATGTGGGACCGCTGGTCTGACAGCAGCCTCCTGTGCCGTGCCCCACTCCACAATCGCTGCCTCACTGCATCTGCCCGCTGCTACCCTATGCCAGGGTCTGCCAGCTGCTGCCTTGAGCACCTGGGGTCCACAAGCCACCACCTTTTTTTGCCACAACCCCTCTTTGCCCGGCTGCCCAACTCTGCCCCTCCTACCAGTCAATTTTAACTCCTTGGTTGTCAGACTTCCATACACTTCAATTTTCTGTCAGTTCTGATTGTTATTTTGTTTCTAAATTGTTGTCCTTATATTGGTTGTGTGAGGAGGCACAGAGTGTCTACCTATGCCTACATCTTGGCCAGAAGTCCCACACTCATCTTTTGAACTGGGGCTTTCTGACTAAAAGTCCAGCTCTTTGCTCAGGCCCTCCCAGGAAGGCCTGACCATCCTGGGCTGGCCTCACCTGCCCTCCACATGAAAAGCCCCAAGGGCTTTTACTCCAGTGGTGATGACTTCCTGAGCCCCTGCTCTGTGCCAGCCACTAGCCTAAGTGCTGAGAGATAACAGTGAGTAAGATACGGGTCGCAGAGGAATAATAACACTACCATCCTGATACAAAGCAGTATTCACCTCACCCTCCTTGGCCACAGCAGCAAAATGGCAGAGTTCTTCTCTTACCTCTGCATGAACCTTCTTTGTGTTTTCCAGACTTTTTACCAGGGTTGTGGAAGTTATTGAGCTGCAAGACATGAAACACATGAAATTAACCAGGTACCACTGTATATTCAAGGCTATATCTACAGAGCTTTGTGAAGAGAGAATCACCAAAGCAGAAGCTATTCTCTCTAGACTCCTACTCAACTCTACTTGAAGTCTGGGAGCATATCTTTCATGGAGAGCAGGAGATAGTTTGGGCTGAATTACAGCTTCCACTTCTCCATCATCACTCTAAGAACTTTCTGTCTATAACAATGTAAGGTGAACAGAGCCAAGCCATTTTATTAGACTTTATTATCTCTGAGTACTAGGGAGATATAGCTGTACTAGCAGGGGATAGCAGAAACTCAGCTAGACATCATTTCAAAAGGCCAAGATGAATTATCCACACAAACATCCCAAACTGTGAGCTCTTTTTTCCTGGTCCTTAGCCTTTGATATCTTGACCATTTGCCTTCTAAATTGCTACTGAATACATTTTCCTTTTTATCTATTTTGAGGTAGACCATATCTATTTAAGGTAGACCGTAAAAAACAATTAGGGTTAAAGTCAGGAAAAAAAACCCATATTTTTTTGTCTCAAGCAGAAATATTTCTATTGTATTTGCAGATTATTAAGTTGTATATTCTCATTATTAGATAATTCAAATAATACAGAAATTCAGACTACTGGAGGCTGAAATTCCAGTAAACTCCTTACCTTCATGGGACCCACCTTCTCCTTTATCCTAAATATCACTATTACTATTTAAGAAATATCCTTCCAAAACTTTGTCAGTGTAAGCATAGGTACACCCCCACAAAATATATTTAAAATATATGCTGCTGAAATGAGCGCAATATAATTTCCTTCTTTATAAACATGAGATCATACTATATAGTCTATAACATGGAATTGGACATCTAACCATGTCATTAGATACAGGGTTGTGTGGTATTTCATTGAATGGAATACCAATTCTTTAAAACATTACTGTTCTGACACAGAAGGTGATTTCAACTTTTAATTATAATCAATAATACAGCAAGCATATTCATGCACATGACATATCAATCTGATTAGTTCTTTAGAATAAACAAGTAGACATGGAAGTGCTGCTCTTCATTTTGAAAAAAAAAAAACTGAGGTCCATAGGGAGAAGTGATCTGATATGAAACCCAGGTTGTCTAATTCAGCATGCCCAGAGCAAAGACCCTGCCAACCAAGTTCAAAACCAAGTTATAGGACCCTTAGAAATGGGAGTGCAAATGTGGCAGGCATATGCACTTTCTGCAGAATCCATGTTCCATGGGGAAAAGAGACTCAAAAGTCAGCATTACTTAATCTTAATGAGGGCCCTTTCCCATCGACACTATCTCAACAAGACAGCTAGTCAATCTATCCTAGCAAAATACTTCATCAACAGTTGGGTAAACTGAGGAATGTACCTGCCAACAGCCAATGAAACTCTAGTGCCCAGGCCAGAGCATCTGGGCATTTTTGAGATACTAGATGAAATTAAAGCCTTTAAACATACATTTCAACAATAAATAACTTAGGACTTCAGGGCATCCATTCAAAAATAGGCTGTCAAACTAGAATGTGGTCTTTTAAATAAAGCCACTAAAGCCCTCAAGATCTGGTTTTCTGTGTGAAACATATATAGTAGACAATTTAAAAATCATCTCTCTCAGGCATTGAATGGTACCATTATAATTCATGCTTAAGACTTACATTCTTAATCATGCTCTACTTAGACCACCCTTTGTAAAAGAGCTGGCAATGTTTGTAAGAAATAACAAAGTGAATGAGGATGATGTGGGAATGTGCAGCAAGGTGTTCCAGGAGCAAAGACAGCAGGGTCACTATACAGATGACATCTAACTGATGTCACCCTCTGTAAAACTGGCACAGTTAGGGCCCTATCATTCTCTCCCACTTCAGGTTAGAGGCAGTCCTGCACCTCTAGCCTCCCAGCCCCAGAGGTGAGAGTAGCCCTGTACCTCTTATTCCCATAGGTCCTCTTCACAATCAATATCAGAACAGGAAGCAGCAGGATAGTGACACAAACGATCCCCACAATGGTTACCAGCTGATTACCACCCAGGATCTCAGGTCTGGAAGCTACTGGAGTCACCAATGCTTAGGAAAGGAGAAAAGCAATGAGAGGTTCTCAATATTCCAACAGCTGACAGCCCCACCAGCTACATACAAAGTAGCAACAGTCAGGTCAGGAAGTTAGGGGAGAAGGCCAGACTCTACTCCATGTTGAAACACTAGGACTCCTCCTGTCACTGTTAGACTGAGAGCCGAAGTCTGGCCCCCTTTCTTACTCCTGAAGTATAGATTAAGGTGGGCAGGAGAAGGGAACAGCACCTCACCTATAGTAGAGTTTTCTTTTGCATTAACAATTCTATCTTAAAATGTGGTTTACCAAATGACATAGAAATAACAGACATCTTAGAGGCTACTGATCTTTTTATGGGAAGCGATTCTTTCAAATGGATCTATGATTCAACACTCAGCCCCATGGACATGATACCAAGTAAGATCTTTGGAGACACTTCCACCCATATGGTACCCTTCACTAACTCCTCAATTCACTCTAAATACATACATCACAGACCTCGTGGGCACCAGATATTACTAGACATGGAAGACACAAACATGAAAATGCTGGTCCTTGCCGCCAAGGAGAGGGAAAACCATGTAAACAGAAAACCAGACTGCTAGGTGCTATGACAGAAGTCTATACAGGGTGCAGAGGAACACAGAGAAAAGGGTACCCAATTCTATGTGGATATGACAATTTGTTAGCCAAAGTTCTAAAGTTTGAACTGAGCTTTAAAGGGAACATCAAGTCTTAAAGGGAACATAGGATGATGCTTTTAGAAACAGTTCCATGCGCTGGGCTCAAAAGTTGCACTGGTGGGTGGACAGGAAACTGAGTTTAAGTCATAAAGGACCTTGATGATCTCAATCAAGAATTTGGCTTTTTTTTCTGTAGGCAATGAAAAAATTATAGGCAGTGGAATAGAATGTTGAGATGCATGATTTAGAAAGATGCATGAAGAATGAACAGTAGCTGAGAATGAAAGCAGAGACTAGTTAGAGGCCTACAGTCTAAAACACAGATAAAGGCAATCAGAACTAAGGTGGTAGGGATGGCCTGGAAAGAAGGGAGATTCAAAGTCAGTAGCAGAAATGACAGGACTTGTTGATCTGTTAGTCTGGGGGTCATGGAAAAGGGAAGAAGCAAGTACAACTCCCAGGCACCCAGTTAGAGAACTACATAGATGGTGGTGGCATTAACTGAGGTTGAGGTGATGGGATGGGAAGAGGTATGCCAGGGGAGATTTGGATATGTGGTATTTGAAATATTTGTGGTATATCTGGGTGGAGCTCACGCAGATATATAGAGACAGATAAATTGTGTCCAGCATAGAATATGCTGAATATATAGACTGTAGTATCCAGTACCATTGAGGTAAAGACAGCTGAGGATATGAGATCCAGAGTACCATCTCTATATCCAAGCTAGAATAGGAGTAGAAGCCAGAATGCAGTGCACTGAGCAGTTACCAGGAATGAGATGAGAGACACTACATACAGTACCTTTGCAAGCTATTTGGCTGTCAAGAAAGAATTTATAATTGACTGTGATGAAGGTTGCACAACTCTGAATGTACTAAAAATCACTGAGTTGTACACTTTAAATGGGAAAATTGTATGGTATGTAGGTTGTATCTCAAGAAAGCTGTTTTAAGAAAAAGAAAGATATAGGATGAGAGCTAAATTAGACATGGACACAAGGTGAGAGGAAGACTTGAGCATATTTATATGCTGAATGGTAGAAGCCAATGGAGAGTGAGTGAGAAGGAACAGAGAATGCACCTGAGCACAGGGATTTGGATAAGCCCAAGTAGAAAGGATGGCAAGGCAGAGATAAGGATGAGGGCAGATTATAGACATATTTGTGGGTGGGGAAGACTTGGAGGTTGAATGAGCTCCCATTTAATGGCTTCAGTTTTATCTGTAAGATTCAGATTTGTGAGAGAGAAGAAATCTATCTGCTTTGCTTCTGTCTTCAGCTGGGACCCTTTACTATTTAACGAGAAGGTACCTCCCTAGATTTAAGTCTCTGGCCAGAGGTATTGAGATGTGTTCCATCCTCACCCCCACCCCCACCCTCAACCAACCACAGCCAACCCCTGAGGGCCCCAGTGTAAGGCAAAGTCCACAGGCCACATCCTGACTGCTAAAACTGACTTATAGTTTATTAACCTCTCTCAGTCAACACAACTGAGTCTTTATTTGCCTACAAACTGGCCTCAATGCATAGCGTTTCCCAGAATACAGAACCTTTGCTCAGAAAACCCCTCTTTCTGGTGCTGCTCCCTTCCTGTTTTTTCTGTTCTTTGCTGTCTCTCACCAGCTCAGGATCATTCCCCCTCAACTACAGAGCACACAGCCTCTTTTTTCAAGTTAATTAAAAATGACTTTGAACATCAACTCCAGTTCATCTCTGAGTTCCTGTATCTTTAAGTTGGTAGGTTGTGCTGACAATGAGTGGCATCTGGCAAAGGGCTGGTGTTCACTAAATATTAGCCCCCTTTTCACTGACTTTTAGCAAGACCACAATTAGGGTGAGGCAAACAAGGTGCCCAGGGCAACAAATTTAAGGAGACATCAGTCTCAGGGTCATGCAAGTACAATGTCAGCATCTGAGAGTGATGCCCCCTTAAGTTTTGCACACTAAAAGCCTCTTGGACCTCACCCTACTCTGGGCCATACCTACTAGCTATGAGGTCCCTCATCCCTCCCCAACCAAATGTTAGATACTTTGGGGCTCTTTCTGAATCACATGTAGCACAATGGTTTTTCTGAATGTCAGGTTCCCCAGGTGAATACTGCAGGTGTAGCTTCCTCTGTCAGATTCCTTCACTCCTTGGAGCTTGATGGAGCCATCATTGCGGGCAGTGTTCCCCACCAGGTTTACACGGTTCTGGAAGCGGCCCCCATACTGGTGGTACCCACTAGGTAATTTTTTGGTGTAATAACGCAACATAATCTCCTCCTAGAAGAGAAAGGCAAAATGTATGAGACTGCTACAAGGTATGCAGGGAGGTGCTGGGAGTGGGGAAGGTTGAGAGCCCCTGAATGTGTAGCCAGTATAGGTATTATCAGAAAATATTAGATAACACAACAGTGTGAACACACATGTTTGTGCTGGCATGTAGTTATGAACAACTGTTCCATCTGCAGGGGGGGATGAGGAAGTAAGAATGAGGGAGCTTAACTTCTTACACTACTCTAGTAAAAAAAAAAAGTGGAAGTATACCTTTACTCTTTATGACATTTTCAATTGGGTTTTCAATAGGAAATCTGAAACATAACTAAAACTGAACTCCAAGTTTTTCCCCAAAACCAGTTCTTTCTAGTCTGTCCTAGTTTGGTAAATGGCAATGCCTTCTTCCAGATGCTCAAGCTAAATATCTTGGAGTCATCCTTAACTCCTCTCTTTCTTGAACAACTCATATCTAAAATCCCTCAGAAAATCCTATCACCTCTACCTTCAAAATATATCCCAAATCTAGCCACTTCACTTCTTCCATGGTTGTCACGGGTCCAAACACCATCTCTTACCTGGATTCCTGCAAGGAGCTTCCTTACTTGTTTCCCTACTTACTCTCAAGTACAGTCTATTTTCAGAAGATAAGTCATTAGAAATATAAGTTAAATTGACCATATTTATTTAACATATTTCTAATGACAGTAACCAGAGGGGAGGTGGGAGGGGATAATGGGGGGAAGGGGGCAGGGTTTTCAGGAACATGTATAAAAGACACATGGACAAAACCAAAGAGGGTAGGATCAAGGTGGTAGTTGAGTATGGCTGGGGTTGGGGGAGGAGTGGGGGGTAAAATGGAGACAACTGTACTTGAACAACAATTAAACAAAAAATAAATAAAAAGAAAATAAATTTAAAAAATAAAAAGGTTAAAACAAACAAAAAAAGAAATATAAGTTAAATCACATTATTCCTCTGCTTGAAACCCTCCAATGGCACTTCCATATTTACTAAAAGTACAGACACTTTTCCTCTATGATTTAATTCTACTTGTTCCACTTGTTCTTTCCTCACCTACTTGGGTCACTTCACACCAGCCATACTGACCTCCTTGCTGCTCCTTGAGTACTGGCCTCAAGGCCTTTGCATTTGTTCGTTCCTCTTTATACCTGGAACACTCTTCTCCCCAGACATACCTGTGGTTCCCTTACTTCCTTCAGACTTCTGCTCAGATGTCACCTTTTTAGTGAGGCCTCCCTAACCACCTCTATAAAATAGCAACAAGACTCTGCTTTCTTGTTCTCCATAGCCGTTACTATTACCTAACACATTCTGTATTTATTTCTTCATTGTTTTACTGTGTATCTTCCTCCATCTTGACTGTAAATCCCCCATCAGGGTCAGGGGCTTTCACTGCATATCAGATGCTTAAAAAATACTTATTAAGGACTAAGTGTTGGAATTTTTAAATTAAGGTATATGAACATTATGATTTTTAAAAGCTTTTAAGAAAAGTTAATGGGATGGGAATAGAGACACAAAGATGAATAAAAAGACCTAGCCCCTAACCTCTTGTCTCTTGTGATTCAATTCACAACTCAAAATGTCAATTCTTATTCTATTTTCTGTTGTGATTCACTTAGTGGATGACATTTCAATGCATGATAAGTCCCCAGAGGTGAACCTGAGACTGTATATAATTGCCCATGATCCACCATGATACCACCCATTCTGACCTACTCAGACAGCATATAGGAATCAAGTAAGTTTAAATGACTTTTTTTATAGGGATTACCTGGAATACATCTTAATTTATAAAAGCTAAAACTTTTATAAACTTTGCACCTTAACTTTTTGAACAGAAAGTTATTTGGCATGTCCCTAAAACATAGCTTGACCCATAAGTACATCACCATGTCATAGTTGATATCCCTGGTCTAGTGAAATAACGTGCTGTTTACTGCTTCAGAGTTCTCATGAACTACTCACCCTGACCCCCTGGGATCTATTGTACTAATCCCAGTATCTGAAGCACCCATAAAGACAGAGGACATTCCCTCCATCACATAAATGGGGCAAGGGAGCACAGAAGAAAACTCACAAAAATAACCCAAATAAGAATAAAGATGTAATCGTTCTTATGTATAGCCCATAGCTTTTCTGGCTAGGCCACAAAAATCTCCCTCATTCTCCCACGAACTCTCCAAAGAGAAGAAAGGAAAAGAGGGAGGAAACTAAAATGCAGTGGCCAAGTCATATACAAATGCTTTACATGGACTTATATATGTGTCTTCACTACCCTAAAAGTTATGCATTTTCTTCTCTTCCTCCTCCTTCTTCTTCATTATCTTCATTAGAGTTATTTTTCCCAAGAGGAAGCTAAAGTTGCTCAGCCATGTAGCAAAGCTAGGAGAAGGCCCAGTTCTGACAAGATCCAAAGCCCAAGCACTTTCAATGCCACCACATGGCACCTGATGCCTAGATTCTCCTTCTTCCCTACTGTCCTGACACCTCGGCCAGGGGCTTCTTCTACACAGATGGCTCCTCCTCATTACCTTGGTGTGCTCCTCTGGTGAGAACATCCAGTCTACCTTGGTCATGAGATTCTCTTCTGTGCTCTGGAAAACACATTCCATTAGGGCTGAATCACCCACATGGACTGTGAGCTCTGGGGATAAAATGATAAATCAAGTTAAAACCAAGATTTAATCTATAGAAGCCAAAGAACTTCTAGAAGAGATAATGTTTAGCCAAAAATCCTCAACGGTAAAATCAACATTACCAACCAATACGGCACACATTCTCTCCACAGATGATTCAGATGACCCTGTATGGACAAAGTATTCAGAAGCCTCTCACTCAAACCAGCAAGATACACCAATGGTAAGAGGATACCCTTTAGCTACCTACATACATCAAGTCTGAGGGGTTCTGTTGTCTTCATACTACAACAAACACTTTCTGGTCTTCTTTGATGCTCTTCTCCCTCCCCTTTGCAGAATTTTTCCTATGAGCCTCAATTCCACTTCCAGTTTATACTAAGAAAGTAGAGAAAATCTTGAAGCCTACTACTTTCTGTTCACCTACTTAGATACCCACATCTGCTTTACATAAACAGGAAGTAGAAAGTTACATGACTCTCTCTCTTATATATATATTCCAATGGATTTTATATATATAATCCACTGGATCTTGTGGCTGAAAAAATGAATCATGGTGACTCTTCTCGGCTTCTCTTATTCTTTTTATAAGTTGTCTTAGGACAGTTCTGGCTACAGAACAGGTCACAAGATTCCTTGCTAATTAGGCCAAGACAAGAGAGAATTTTCCTCTGAATTTAGTTTCTTTTTCAATCCTTGCCCCCACTCCCCACCTGATCCCCCTTCTCCTGCTTCTGGATTCTCAAGTCCTAGGCTCTTCTGTTTATTTTATAAGTAGCTGACCCCATCATATGTTTACTGTATAAGTCATTTCAGGAGGTCCTTGAAAAAGGAAACAACTAGAAAGATGTTTCTGATTTTTTCAATGATGTACTACACAAATCAACCACAAAATCAGTTACAAAATGAAAAGTGGATGGTATTTAGGGAGTCATAACCCTAGGTCTTAACTGGACAAAGTTCCTTCAAAAGACCATTAAGAAAAATTCATGAAGAAACAAACACAGTGCATAAACTGAACTTTCCATCCAAATTGTTTCCCTGGGAGAACATTAACTTCCTGCCCAGCAGGCAAAATGAATAATGGGAGGAAAGCAAAAGAAAATATTATGAACTTGAAACTCTATAAACAATAATAAAGTTTAAAAAATGTTTAAATGACAACAGCCAACACACACACACACACACACGGAAAAGAAAAGAAACTCTGTAGAGGGAATTATTTTGAAAGTAATAAAAATTCACTCCAAATACCAGTAGAAAAGGAACACCCTTTAATTCAGCAACACATTAAAAACTGAACTCTTTTTTTTTGTTGTGTTCAATTACAATTGTCCCAATTTTCCCCCCATTGCTATCCCCTGCCCCATCCACTGCCCATCCTTCAGTCAGTCCTCACCCTGTTGTCCATTACCATGGGTCCTTCTGTAATTTTAATATATTTTATTGATTGTGCTACTACAGTTGGTACATTTTTTTCTCCTCTTTTCCCCTCTGTCCTGTACCCACCATACCATCATTCCCACTCCTTAGTTCATGTCCATGGTTTGTACATTTAAGTTCTTTGGCTTCCCCATTTCCCATATTATGTTTAACCTCCCCGTCTAAACATAGCTCTAAACAGGTATAAAATGTTTATACCTCTAAACAGGTATAAACATTTTATACCTATCATTTATGCTTCTTATTACCTGTGCCTTTTCCCCTATTCTCCCCACTCTCCCTCCCTGCTGATAACTCTCCATGTGATCTCTATTTTGGTAAATTTGTTCCTGTTCTAGTTGTTTGTTTAGTTCATTTGTTTTTATTTTTTTAGGTTTGGTTGTTGATAGTTGTGAGTTTGTTGTCATTTTACTGTTCATAGTTTTGATCTTTTTCTTAGATAAGGCCCTTTAACATTTCATACACTAAGGACTTGGTGGTGATGAACTCATTTAACGTGATCTTATCTGGGAAGCACTTTATCTACCCTTCCCTTCTAAATGATACCTTTGCCAGACAGATTAATCTTGGATGTAGGTCATTGCCTTTCATGATTTTGAATACAAATTTCCAGCCCCTTATTGACTGTAAGGTTTCTTTTGGGAACTCCTTTGTAAGTAACTGTCACCTTTTCTCTTGCTGCTTTTAAGATTCTCTCTTTATCTTTAATCTTGGGTAATGTAATTATGATGTGCCTTGGTGTGTGCTTCCTTGGGTCTAAATTTCTGGGGACTCTCTGAGCTTCCTGGCAGCCTATTTCCTCTGCCAGATTAGGGAAGTTCCTCTTCACTATGTTTTCAAATTAGTTTTCAATTTCTTCCTCTTCCATTTCTCCTTCTGGCACCCCTATGATTTGGATGTTGGAACATTTAAAGTTGTCCCAGAGGTTCCTAAGCCTCTCCTTATTTTTTTTGAATTCTTGTTTCTACATTCTGTTTCAGTTGGATGTTTATTTCTTCTGCTCCAAATCATTGATTTGAGTGATACAGGGCACTGTTGGTTCCCTGTATATTTTTCTTTATTTCACTTTGCATAACCTTCACTTCTTCCTTTATTTTGTGTCCTTACTCAGTCGTTTCTTTAAGCATCTTGATTACCAGTATTTTGAACTCTGTATCTGATAGGATGGCTATCACCTCGTCACTTAGTTCTTTTTCTGGGGTTTTGATCTGTTCTTTCATTTGGGCCATATTTCCTTGTCTTGGCACATGTTGCATTGTAAGGGGCAGAGCCTTAGGTAGGGCAGGGCTACCTACTTTGCTCCATTGTGGCACTGTATGTGGGGGAGGGATCAGAGAGGGAACAATGACATTTGCTCAGCTCTCATCCTGTTTTCAGTCACTTCCCCTGCTACCCACAAGTGAATTAGGCCCTTCCAGTCCTAATTCCCAAGTGGGTGGGCTTGCGTATGTTCTAGGACCCTGTGGGTCTCTCCAACAAACTCTCCTGTAAGGCCGGGAGTTTCTCCTTCCAGCTCAACCTCCATAACGTTTTTTTAGTCAGAGGTTTGGAGGCTTTATTTTCCCATACTGGAACCCTGAGTTGCACACTCTGTCTTACTCCCCAGTTGTTCCTCCTGGTTTACCTACATGCCAATATAGGACCACTCACTCCGCCAGCCACCGCCTCGCCCGGTCTGCCAGCCGTCGCCTCACCCACACAGTTTCTCCAGTCACCGCCTTGCCATGAGTCCTTTCCAATCTGGCTGCCCGTCTCCACCCCTCCTACCAGTTTCGATGAATGTTTTTTAACTTTAATTTCTTGGTTGTCAGATTTCCACACAGTTTGATTTTCTAGCAGTTCTGGTTATTTTTTGTTTTTAAATTTGTTGTCTTTTTGGTTGTGTGAGGAGGCAAAATGTATCTACCTACACCTCGATCTTGGCCAGAAGTCTGGTCCTTTTTTTTTTTAAAAGACTTTATTTCTTTTTAGAGACAGGGAAAAGGAAGGAGAAAGAGTGGGAGAGAAACATAAATGTGTGGTTGCCTTTCACTCACCGCCCACTGGGAACTTGGCCTGCAACTCAGGCATGTGCACAGACTGGGAGTCACACCAGCCACCCTTTGGTTCACAGGCCAGCACTCAACCCACTGAGCCACACTAACCAGGGCCCATGTGTCCTTTATACATGTCCCTTGACTAGACCCTTCCCCTTCTTTCCCCCGTTATGCCTGTCTCCCTCCCCTCTGGTTACTTTGTTCTTTATTTCCATGTCTCTGGTTCTATTTTGCTCATTATTTGTTTTGTTCATTAAGTTCCACTTATAGGTGAGATCATATGGTATTTGAATTTTGCTGCCTGGTTTATTTCACTTAGCATAATGTTCTCCAATTCTATCCATGCTGTCACAAAAGGTAGGAGTTCCTTCTTTATTTCTGCTATGTAGTATATTCCATTGTGTAAACGTACCACAGTTTTTTGGTCCTCTCATTTACTGATGGGCACTTCGGATGCTTCCAGCACTTGGCTATTGTAAATTGTGCTGCTATGAACACTGGAGTACACAGGTTCTTTTGAATTGGTGTCTCAGGATTCTTATAATCCCAGCTGTGGGATCACTGGATCAAAAGGCAGTTCCATTTTTAGTTTTCTGAGGAAATTCCATACTGTTTCCCACAGTGGCTACAACAGTCTGCATTCCCACCAACAGTGCACTAGGGTTCCCTTTTCCCCACAACCTTGCCAGCACTTGTTGTGTTTATAATGGCCATTCTGACTGGTGTGAAGTAGTATCTCATTGTGGTTTCATTGTGCATCTCTCTGATGGCTTGTGATGCTGAGCATCCTTTCAGCATATGTCTCTGTGCCCTCTGTTTGTCCTCCTTGGAGAAGTGTCTGTTCAGGTCCTTTGCCCATTTTTTAATTGGCTTGTTTGTCTTCCTGAAGTGGAGTCGTGTGAGTTCTTTACATATTTTGGGAATTAAACCTTTGTTGGAGGTATCATTTGCAAATATATTTTCCCATAGAGTTGGCTCCCTTTTCATTTTGCTGATGTTTTCTTTAGCCATGCAGGAGATTTTTAATTTGATGTAGTCCATTTATTTATTCTTTTCTTTATATCCCTTGCTCCAGGAGATATATTGGCAAAGATATTGCTGCATGAGATATCTGACGTTTTACTGCCTACGTTTTCCTCTAGGACTTTTATGGTGTCACACATATATTTAAATCTTTTATCCACCTTGAGTTTATTTTGGTGAATGGTGCAAGTTGGTGACCTACTTTCATTTTTTTATACATATCTGCCCAGCTCATATAATTTTCCAAAACTGAATTAAAAAGAAGCAGAAAGCCTCAATAGACTGATAACAGCTAGTGAAATTGAAGCAGCCATCAAAAAGAAAAACTCCCAGCACACAAAAACTCTGGACCAGATGGCTCACAGGCAAATTTTACCAAACATTTAGGGAACAGTTAACTTCTATCCTGCATAAACTATGCCAAATAATCCAAGAAAATGGAAGACTCCCAAACTCTCTTTATGAGGCCAAATTCTAAAACCAGGTAAAGACACAACAAAGAAGGAAAACTACAGGCCAATATTGCTGATGAACATCAACAAAATATTGGCAAACCAAAAACAGCAGTATGTTAAAAAGATCACACACCGTGATCAAGTGGGATTTATCCTAGGGACGCAAGCATGGTACAACATTCACAAATCAAGAAACATAATATATCACATGAACTCTATTTTTTAAATGCAATAATGATAACTAAACCTCTGAGTCCTTTCAATGCACCAGGCATATCAGAGATACCTTGTATCGTCTACCAGCTAGTCATTATAATATTCTGATATATTCACTATTACCCTCCTATTTTGCAGAGGAAGAAAATAAAAGAGACCAAAACAACATGGCCAATAAAACATAGGCCTGGCACTCAAACACAGGCCTGAGTGATAAAAAATACAAGCTTTCTCACTTACTGTACTCTGCTACCTCTTATTAGTGGAAGGTTGGCTGACTCCAGAGTGAAAGTGCAGGAAGTTAGTGTCATTTTTATTTGTAAGAATATTGTCTACAATATTTAAATAAGAACTATTTAAAAAGAGTTAAGGAAATAGAATCATAAAAATTGTAAGCTGAAGGGTAAACTTTGTAGAGAAAATTATAGATGACTGCACAAATGGAGTTTTCACATGGGAGAAAACCTCCATCAAGCAAGATGGACAACTTTGCACTGGTCACCAGGCAAACTGTTAGGAGTTGGATCTATTCCCACTCCTGCTACAGAGAAAAATATATACAATTTGCCCCACTGACTACTGGGGAAATATCTAACTACGCCTAAAATTGTTCTAGCCTGTTTCCATGGATTTCTTTGAAATCAGATCCTTTTGGTTTGTTCCCTGTGTGTCTGTCTCTTCTAAGCAGGAAAAGGCATTCATTTTGTAGGCCATGCTTATATGGAAAAACGCTTGGGTACTGCATTAAAAGATGTAGCCCAGAGGTAATCCTTGGGAACACTGGCAACTGATTCATTTCCTCTTCCTAGAGAACCACAGCTTTGGATCAAGAGAAAAATGTCAACTGAAAAAAGAGTACAAAAAATTAGGAGAGGCCAGAAGCTACCTTCTACAACTCCATTTTTTAGGAGTTAAATTCAAGTGAGGGACACTAATTCAAAAATTTCATTCATTCAACAAATGTTTATTGGTTGCTTATCCTGTGCTAGGCACTGTGCCCACAGCTAGTCAGGAACAAAGAACACAGACCCAGGCAAACAGGGAAGACACAACTGAACAGGTATGATGAGTACCACCAAAGAGAAGGACAGGGTGCTCCAGAGGAGCTCATTAAAAGAGTAGAACTAAACTAACTGATGGGGAGGGGAGGGTACAGATTCTAGCTCTCTATCTAGACTGCAAGGTTTCCTGAAGCCACAGACTAAAGAATTTTTCAAATTCTGTGGTTTTCAAACATTTTTAAGCAGCAGAATTCTTTCTTTAAACAAAATCTTACTTGGCAGCCCAATAATAAATCAGGAAAAAGATGAAGGACTATGGTGGCAGTGGAGGTGGAAGCTAGAGGTCCTGCCTGACTAGATCCTCTATCAACTCCTTCTGTTTCACCCTTTGTGTGGCCTACCAGATCCCTTGGACTTTGAGGTTCTATAGAGCAGTTTTTAAACCACCAATCTACTGAAGCCACTCCCTCCATCTACAAATGGGAACATGAGGACCAAAGAAGTATGGAAAATCTGCTCATTTCTTTTATATCCCCCAGAGCACTTAACATAGGTACTTATAAAATATGGATGTAGCATCAATGTGGATAAATTAAGGGAGGTATCAGGTATAGTAAAAAGAACATGAACTCTATTGTCAAAGGTGACAAGGTTCAAGTAATGGATATGACATTTTATAAATATAGGTCCTTAGGCATAGTCACTTAACTTCCTTAAGCCTCAGTTACTTCATCTGTAAAATAAAAAGAACAGTACTTCCTTCACAGAATTTTCAAGAGGATGAAATATGTTTAAAGTAACAATAAAATAATAATCATCATCATTTTAGTATAAAGAGCACTATTTACTGAGGACTCACTCTGTGGTCAGTGTGTATGTAGCCCAAAGGTTGGCATACTCACACAATCAGTTCCCTTCCCTCTCTTTGCTCTACAAATCTCTAGCCCCTCTCCCTTTTCTAAGTAAAATTTCATGTACCTTTGGGCTCCTCTGGTAGTACATGCAGTACCACTGGTGTTTTGAACACATGGCTCTCCATTTCAAGGCGAATTTCACAGGTATAGATTCCCTGGTCAGCCTCTTCCACATTTTGGAGCAGGAGAGAACCGTCATTGTGTGAGATGTCCCCCACTAAGCGCACACGATTCTGGAAGCGTCCCACAGGCACACTGAGGTTTGCATAATAGTACAGCACATAATCATCCTGGAGGGCAACACAACATTGGGGAAAAAGTAATATCAGTGATACCACACCTAGGAGCCTGGATTCAAAAGACCCTGTTCTATGGTGGCAGCATGGTTATCATCATTATCATGATCAAAAAGTATTTGTTACCCAGTTAACAGTAATAACATGCGGGCAATAATCTAACTTGCACAAGGCTCTGTGGCTCATTTATACAAAAACAAGTAGAGAAATAGAGTCCATACTTTTCCTTTGGAACAGTGTAAAGTAAAACATAATACCCACTCTGAAGATAACTCTGGGGATTCAAACTCACAACTTTTGAAAACCACCTGCCATCTTTGCCCCAACTTTTGCTATGGTCCCCAGATCACAGGACATTCAGAGGCATAATGCACTCCACAGCAGACTGCTGTGAGAATTCCAGAATGTTGGCTGTCATCACTCCTTCTGCTCTCTGTCCTCTTCTAGGTAACTTATCATAGGGCATGAGAAGTCATCAACAGGGAGTGGTTTAGCGGCTGGAGAGAAAGCCCTGAGGAATTCCTATTTCTACTTACACCATGGGAATATCCCTCTTATAATAATAAGTTCAGTGAGAGTAGCATTATAAGAATAACATGATCATTTGCAAACATTGGGAGCTGTTGTTAGTAACACACTACTTAGGGCATACTTCATGAATGATCCTGACATATAAGTATCTTTGCAACATCTCTAATAAGGCTTAATACACTGTTTCCTACTCCAAAGAGCTCCCATGAAATACCCTCATTCAGCTATGCTACATCTGCATTTCAAGCAGCTGTGAAGAAGAGAAGCTTCTCCAGCATATAAATGGGGCAATGGAACACTGAAAACACTATTGCTGTGATGTCATTCTTATGCTTAGACCATAACCCTTCTGTCTACTCAGCCAAAGTGCTCTTACCATCTCACAGCCTATGCACCTATGCTCCTCTACAAAGTGCAGAAATTGAGGCAAGAAAGTAAAAGAACTTTATAACTTTAGAAGCTAACAACTCCCATTAGCTTCTAAATGACCTGAACAGTTAAGCATTACCATTATTATAATCACCTTCACCTTCACAGATGGAGAAGTAGAAGCTCAGCGAGGTTGGATAACTTGCGCAGCAGATTACACAACCAAGTATCCAGACTGAAAACAGTTCTGACAAGCCCCAGAGTCCAAGCTCTTACAACACCACCTCATAGCAGAAGACCTGATTCTCCCTCTCCTCCACTGTCCTGACACCATCACGAGGGCTTCAACTACACTGTGATATTTCCACCTAGTTACCTTGGCATGCTCCTCTGATGAGAATATCCAGTCTACCTTGGTTATACGTTTCTCTTCTGTGCTGTGGAAAACACATCCCATCAGGACTGAATCACCCACGTGGACTATTAGCTCAAGGGAGGAAACAATCAAGTCATTCAGACCCAAGAAATAACCTACAGAAGTCAAAAGACAAGAGAAGACATCATTTAGACAAATACCCTCAACAAACATCAGTATTAATCACCAAGTACCATACATCTTCCCTCCCCAGATGTCCAAACATGGACAAAGTATTCAAAGGCTCCTCCCTCAAACCAACATGGCCTTCCCAAGGATAAGAAAAATACCCTCTAGTTACCTATGTGGCTCAAACCAGGAGGTTCTGCAATCTTCACACTACACAAATACTAAACTGGTCTCATTCTCCTAGCTAGTCCCTTCCCCTTTTCCAGAATTCCTCTCTGACCCCATCTCCTTTCTAAAGAAAAAAAGAACCCTGAAGTCCCTACTTTCAGATCATGTGCTTAAATACCCATAAACAGGAATTGAGATAACTGTCACTCTTAGTTTACCATCAGTTCCCTATCTGAAAAACGAATTCACAGGTATTTCTGCTTCCTTCTTCTTTTCTCTTTCTTTAGTTCCTTTACAGAAGCTTATCTCTGAATCTTCTGGCTGTGCTGAAGGCCCTTGTAATTGGGCCAATACAGAGCACAGCTCTTCCCTTGAATCTGTCTTGTGTTTGACTTCTTATGTCCCCCTCCAGCTCTGCCAACAGCCCTGGCTTTTCAGTCTCTAGGTGTCTGAACACATGGTACCACTCCACTATCTGTAGGTCACTCAAGTAATTTCTCTTTTCTCTAAAAGAGAAAACCATTATACAGCTATTTCTGTTTTTACAAGATATGCTTTATGCAAAGACAAAAACATCAAAAAAGACACATTTAGAGACTGATGGATGCCAGAGGAAAGGAGGGGCTGGGAGTACTGGGTAAAAAAAAGTGAAGGGTTTAAGAAGTACAAATTGGGCCCTGATTGGCATGGCTCCACTGGTTGGGTGTCTTCCTGCAGAGTGAAGGGTCGTCAGTTTGATTCCTGATCAGGGTACATGCCTGGGTTGAGAGCCAGTCTCCAGCTGGGGGCATGAGAGAGACAACCAATCGATGTTTCTCTCTCACATTGATATTTCTCACCCTCTCTTTCTCCCTCCTTTCCCCTCTCTCTAAAAATAAATAAGTAAAATATTTAAAAAAAAGAAAAACATGTCTAAATACTGGCTAGTTTATATCAAAGAGGAGCGAAGTGAACACATATAGTAAAATGGATAATGTGCCAGTCTCTTCATCCGAGCTGCTGCCCTGAGAGAAGAGTGATAACTTCCTGCCCAAGAGCAGGCATACACACATCACAGGGAAGACATAAAAGAAAACATGAACTCTAAACAATTTGGAGGAAATTACTTTAAAATAAATCAAAATTAGCTCTAAAACCAATTTGGAATTTTCCTGTCAGGAAGAACTGAGCAAATTTATATGCAGTTAAAGGTATAGGAAGCTATTTTTTTTAACATTAAGCATGCTATATGGAGAATTAAATGAAGGTATGTTAGAAAGCAAGAGCAGCAACTAAAGCAAAGAGAAAGTTATACTTGACAGATAACCTTTGCAGAGAAATGACTACAGAAAATGAGACTTTCTACAGGAGGAAAACCTCTACAAAGAAGTATGGAAACTCTGATGCCACCAAGCCATGACATACAGGGTTGGATTGTTGTTGTTGTTGTTGTTTTTTTGGGGGGGATTGTTTCTTTTGTTAAGATTTTATTTATGTTTAGAGAGAGAAGAGAAGGTGCCCTGGCTGGTACGGTTCAGTGGATGGATTGAGTGCTGGCCTACAAAACAAAGGGTCACACTGGTTTAATTCCTAGTCAGGGCATATGCCTGAGTTGCAGGCCAGTCCCCAGTTGGGGGTGTGAGAGAGGCAACCACACATTGATGTTTCTCTCCTCTCTCTCCTCTCTTTACCCTATCTCTAGGAATAAATAAATAAATAAAATCTTTAAAAGGATAGAAGGAAAAAAACATCAACATGTGAGAGAAATATCGATTAGTTGCCTCTCACACGCCCCCAACTGGGGACCTGGCATGTACCCTGACTGGGAATTTAACTGTCTACCTTTCGGTTCACAGGCTGGCACTCAATCCACTGAGCAACACACCAGCAAGAGCCAGGGTTGGATTGTTAACTCTATGTGTAGAAGGGCAAAAACCTGCAGACTACTTTACAGACTGCTGGGAAAATATTTAACCATTAAATCATTTAAAAATTCATTAAAAAATTCTCTAATACATACCATTTCCACATGTGTGTGTTGTGTGTATGTTAGTGCATACTCTATGTTGCCTGGAACTAGAACAAAGGCAATTCTTCTGTGTACTTCAGTGAGTCGGTGTTTAGGTCACCATCCACAGTTTAAAAAAAAAACTAATAAAGAGGAAAGTAAAAAGCTATGAGAGCAAAGCATCTAATTAATTTATTCTTTCCACAGAGATATATTAATAGGATACAGAGAAAGACAAAATAGTATAAAAGGATGAAAAATTAGAAAGAAGCGAAGATGAGAAATGAGCAACAAGCACTTAGGTTACCTATGAACAGGAGACTCCAGCATGGTCTGAAAAGACAGCCAGAGGAGGCTTGTTAGAAGAAAGTGGAGCTTAAGGGGAAACCTTAAGGATAACGAAACTTTAGGCAGGCTTGCTAAAGTAAGATAGGGAGAGAAGGCTCCTGGCAAAAGAAACCACCTAAAATTAAGAAAGAGCTCAGTGCATTGGAGGAACCACAAGAAGACTGGAATGGCTAAAGCATGAAAACAACTACAGGGATTCTGGGACTTGCTTTCATAATTTCATTTACTGATCTGACACTAGCTATGGTTTCAAAGATGACAATTTAAAGGGCAGGAATGCCAGAAGGATGTTTTCTTTGTATCACATAGGAGGGTCCTAGAACACCCAGTAAGGACCCAAGGCATTATTTTCACTAGAAACAGAGGAAGATTCAGCCTTCCAATAAAGAGTCTGCCTACATAGCTTCTAAAACAGCTGTTTCAGCAAAACAACTGTTTCCACAAAACTGTGAAGTTCCAGGTTAGGGTTTCTGTTTCCAACAAACCAAAGCAAAATGAAAATACACAAAACTGGCTTTTCAAAAGGCAGGAGACTTATGAGAAATCACATCTCCCCCACCCCCACTGCCACTTGCTCCCTTGGCTTCTACTTACCCAGTAATCCTGGCATTAGGATGAGTTTCCATAGGCAAAACATGCTGCACTCAATTTTCAATCTTAGGATAAAAGAAAAAATCAGAAAATAGTTTCAGGAGCAGTTCATTAATTAAACAAACCAACAGTGAGTTCCTCCAAAGTCCAGCCTCTGCCTGAGGCTCTAGGATATAGCATTGAACAAAAAAGATAAGGCCCCTGCTCACCTGCAGTGTGCATGTAGGGGAGATAGAGAAAAAAAGAAGCAAATGAATGAATAATAAAACAGCTGATGCTGGTAACTGCCATGATAAAACAAAATAGTAGTATTGGGTGAGTCACTTGGGGGCTGCTTTAGATTAGCTGTAAGGGAAGATTAGGTGAAAGTTGCTTTTCAAAAACAAAAAAGTGCCCTGACTGGTATGACTCAGTGAGTTGGCCATTGTCCTGCAAAGCAAAAGGTTGCTGGTTCTATTCCTGGTTGGGGCACATGTCTAGGTTGTAGGTTAGGTCCCCAGGAGAGGAAACGGATTGATGTTTCTCTCTCACATTGATACTTCTCTTCCTCTTTCTCCCTCCCTTCCCCTATAAAGAAAGAAAGAAAGAAAGAAAGAATTAACTAACTAAATAAATAAATAAATAAAATCTTAAAAACAAAGAGAGGAAAAAAACAAATAATTTCAGAATACCCTTGAGATGACAACCCGAGACATTATTCTGTAACCTGAAAGTTTCCCATAAACAAAAGATTACAGGATTCTCAGCCTGAAATTTTTACCTATCCCTCCAACTAAATGAAAACTACTACTTTTAAACATATGAAGAATATTCAGGACATGTGAGAAAGGAGATACACAAATAAGGGGAAATATTTCAACACAGTTAAGGCATTTACCAAGCTCTATGACATAAAGAAGAGCCACACGAAAGCTTTTTTCTTTTCTTTTTTTAAACTTTTTTAGGCAAGGCAGCATGGGTAGAATAAGAATTGGGTGAAGTTATCTTTTAAATGCCTATATTATCTCTGTGGTATTAATTTCACTGCATCTATCAGTTCCTGGGAAAGGAATCACTGTTTTACACAGTGCCTCCCAATTTTCTTAATGAAACAGAAGGACACAACTCCGAGTCACAATTCAACAAGCCTTGTATTCCTATCTACTACTGTGGCTGATCTTAGCCATGATCCCTGTACCCATAACAACCTGCCACTGGAGGAATTCCACCTCAGAACCTGCTAGGAGGAAAGTTGGTTTTTGTGTGTGTGTGCATTAACATCACAGTATTCTACCCAGCTCTGCTGGGAAATCCAGAACTTATGGTAGCCATTTAATTTATGAAAAATGATTTCTTAAAAGATTCCTTATCTGTATTCTACTCAACAAAATCCTCCATCTGGAAAACCAGAGTCAAACTGTTCAAGAAGGTCCTGCCCTGGGTCCCAACTTATGCAGAGAAGTCAGTTGATTTTGCTCAACCTCAGTTTCTCACCTATAACATGGGGATTAATAATGCAAGAATAAATATGATAATGTAGATAACAGTGCTTTGAAAAATAGAAAGCATAAGATCCTATTTTCTCTTTTTTTTAATTGTTGTTCAAGTACAGCTGTCTCCATTTTACCCCCTCCACCCATCAGTGGAATCACTGGATCAAAACGCAGTTCCATTTTTAGTTTTCTGAGGAAATTCCATACTGTTTTCCACAGTGGCTGCAACAGTCTGCATTCCCACCAACAATGCACTAGGGTTCCCTGTTCTCCATAACCTTGCCAGCACTTATTGTTTATTTGTTTATGATGGCCATTCTGACTGGTATGAAGTGGTATCTCATTGTGGTTTCATTGTGCATCTCTCTGATGGCTTGTGATGCTGAGCATCCTTTCAGCATATGTCTCTGTGCCCTCTGTTTGTCCTCCTTGGAGAAGTGTCTGTTCAGGTCCTTTGCCCATTTTTTAATTGGCTTGTTTGCCTTCCTGGAGTGGAGTCATGTGAGTTCTTTACATATTTTGGGAATTAAACCTTTGTTGGAGGTATCATTTGCAAATATATTTTCCCATAGAGTTGGTTCCCTTTTCATTTTGCTGATTTTTTTAACTGTGCAGAAGTTTTTTATTTTGATGAAGTCCCATTTATTTATTCTTTCCTTTATGTCCCTTGCTCTAGGGCACATATCAGTGAAAATATTGCTGTGTGGAGTATCAGATTTTCCTGCCTATGTTCTTCTATAGGACTTTTATGGTGTTTCCACTTATATTTAAATCTTTTATCCACCTTGAGTTTATTTTTGTGTATGGTATAAGTTGGTGATCAAGTTTCATATTTTGATGATAGCTGTCCAGCTCTCCCAACACCATTTGTTGAAGAGGATATTTTTACTCCATTTTAATATCCTATTTTTTATAATCTGAAAATCAGACAGGAAATAGAGTGTGTAGCTTTCAGGGTAGATTGTGATTCAGAGTATCTACCTTTATAAAAATAGCAAATGAGTAATCATAATGAACTAGAAAACTTTTGTTTCAATTTTTGAATCCCATCACATCAATGTAGATAATTACTACACCAATTCAGATGTACCAAAAGTAACATTAAGTTCCCCAAGTACATCTAATGAAAATACAGAACTCTCTAAGATAGCCACAGCCCTATCCCTGCTCCAGGATGCCCACCTTACCCAACACTTACATGGGTGAGCATAATAAGGGGCTCACTTTATAGTATGTCAGAACTTTAATACATCATATCAGGGACCCCTAAGATTCCTGGCAAGTTTTGGATGAATTCTTCTCCAGGGAGTTGGTTGTGCTCCCTCCTCTGCCCAGAAAACAGCTCTTATACATTTCCCAAAGCAGTGCACAATTTGCACAGAAAAGTAATAATTGATTTACATGTCTAACATCAAACCACATTAAGTCTACATTCTTGAGGGCATAACCATACATGTCTTACTTATGAGTGTCCCATGCCTGTGCTACAGTACTAGTCAAACGCCCAGCATATACTAGGTAATTGATGACAGCTGTCAATATGACCATCAAATTAAAATCAACTTAGATATCCTGCAACTGAACCACTCTATTCTAAGAGGAAACCAGCAACCCCCAAAAGACCCTGATTGTGATCACCAAACTCAAGTTGCTCAGAGCCACACCCAAACTATTTTTCAAACAAATTCTAAGAATGCACAAACAATATGATGAATAAAAGATACCCATTTTCAGTTCTAAGTGCTCAAATGCTCCATTAGAACTGTATAAATGAATAGATAAGCAATAATTTAACAAACAAAAAAGAACAAATAGAATTTTTTAAAAAATTCTCTTCCCTACTTCAGACCTTCCCGTAACTATTCTTTAAGCTTCAGGAAATCACTCAATCTACCTGGAGACTAGGAGACTCCCTAACATTAAAGGATCAGACTTTTTTTTATCCCCCTAGTTAATGTGTCACCACACTAGAAATCAGTAGTTGGTATGTAATAAACCAGAGAAGGTTATACACCAGGTATTGTCTGAGCACTTTACACATTAACCCATTTAATTCTCACAACAACCCCATGAGGTTTTATAGATAAGGAAACTAAGGCACAGATTGGTGAGTGATTTGCCTAATAACACACACCGAGTGGCAGAGCCATGATTCAAACCCAGGCATTCTGGACCAGAGCCTTTCTCCTTACTACTTTGTATTGCGCCTCCATGTTTGTGATAGTAACCAATGTTTTAGGGCAAAGCTTCTCTGAACTTCATTTGTCAAAACAAAATCAACCTTCTCCCCAATTAAAATGTTCTTCACAACCCCTTCACCTAGTTAACTCCTGTTCATCTTTCAGATCTCAAGTTAAACTTCTTCTGAATCCCCTTCCTGGGCCAGATACTGAGGCACATGTTCTAATAGTACTATTGATCATTTCCTTTATGGTTTGTCCCAGTTTCTAATTGTCCATTTATCTGTGTGCTTGTATAAGTCTTGCTCTCCCCATCCTCACCCCTCCAAGACTGTAAGCTCCATGTGGCCAAGAACTGCACGATGGGCCACTGCACCTCCAGTGCCAGCATGGAGTAAGGCCCAGGGTGTGAAAGCCCAGTGACCACCTGTCCCATGAGTTAACAGGGCTCAGAACACTCTAGTCAAGTTTCAATGTCCTAGTTAGTGGCAATTATTCAGAATTCCCTATCATATACATACATAGTCACCAAATTGTCAATAGTCACACACATATGTATATGATAGGAATTTCTGAATATACATATGGGTATATATAAATTCTGACATACATCTGAATGATAAAATTCTGAATTTTATATATAATACAGTTGACCTTTAACATGCAGGCTAAGGGTGCTGACCCCACATAGTCGAAAATCACAAGTATAACTTTTGACTCCCCCAAACTTAACTACTAATAGCCTACTACTGACCACAACCTTACTGATAACAAAAACAGTTGATTACCACATATTTTGTATATTATATGTATTATATACTGTATTCTTACCATAAAGTAAGCTAAAGAAGAGAAAATGCCATTAAAAAATCATAAGGAAGAGCCCTGGCTAGTGTGGCTCAGTGGACTGAGTGCTGGACTGCAAAGCCAAGGGTTGCCTCTCTGATTCTCAGTCAGGGCACATGCCTGGGTTGCAGGCCAGGTCCCCAGTTAGGGGGTGTGTGAGGGCAACCACCCCCTACATTAATCAACATTAATGATTCTCTCCTTGTCTTTCTCTCTCCCTGCCCCTCTCTAAGAATAAATAAAATCTTTTAAAAAATCATAAGGAAGAAACTGCATTTACAGTACTGTATATATTTATTGAAAAAATCTGCATATAGGTGGACTCACACCATGTGTTCAAAACCATGTTATTCAAGGGTCAACTGTATTTATATACATCAGGTCCTCAAATAACCTAATTTTTTCAGTATAATTTCATTATAACAATGATTTAAAAAAACTGATTCCCAACCAGGGTCACTGTCTATTTGCACATTCCTCCCATGTCTGTGTGGGTTTTCTGCAGGGAGTCTGGTTTCCTCCTACATCCCAAATACGTGTATGTTAGGTTAACTAGTGTGACCAAACTGTCCCAAGCTGAGTGAGTGTGAGGGTGTGGGTGTGAATGGCTCTGTGATAGAAGGGTGTCCTGTCCAGGGTGGGGTCCCACCTTGCCCCCTGAGCTGCAGGATAGACTCCTGCCACCTGCAACCACAAAGTGGAAAAAGTGGGTTGGAAAATAATTATCTTACTAGCTTTTATTAATCTTCCCTAATTGTATGTATAGCTCACTTTTATTTTGGTGTTTATAGTCTTTATTTAGTGTTTGAAGTCTTTATTTAGAAATTTAGTGATGCTTTTGTGACTAGAAATATGCTATAAGAACTTAACTCTTGTTTACATCAATCTATGGTAAAACCAATTCCGTATATACTGATTCCTTTAAAGCACGGGTGTCCAACTCATTTTCACCAGAGGCCACATCAGCCTCACAGTTGCCTTCAAAGGGCCAAATATAATTTCAACTCCTTAACAGTTAAGGAGTAGTTTCACCCCTGCTTTAACATCAGTTTCAAAGAACTTATTGACAATATAAGGACATACAGTATATAAAATAAATCTCAATCTTTAAAAATCCACCAAAGCATTCAGATGCACCTTAAAACACCTTAATAATAATAGGCTCTATTTGAATTCTCAATTTCTACTCTGCTTACTTCTCCAGACACTAATTTATCTTCTCGGCAGATATTCTTGAGATAATCTTATGTAGTAAGTTATCTCATATCTTGGCTAAATGTTTTGACTGAGCTTATGGCTCTTTCACTATATAATACCTAGCAAATATCTTCGATCACTCCTGGGGAGTTATAACTGTAAAGATCTGCTTTCCAATTATTAATTGTGTGGGGGAATTGTTATCCTTGACACAATTATGACAGAAAAAATCCTTAGATAAGAGACTCATAACAATGAGACCACCACACAGTATGTGAAAATAACCCCCACATATTACACTATTACAAGACAAAATAGGGAGAGGTGCTGTCTCAAAGTGTTTGCCCCTAGTAAGGAAAACCAACCACTGAGCAAACACAATGGCACACCCTTCCCTTACTCACACAGCCAGCTCCACCTGCAATTCTATGCTCCCTCAATTTACACATGGCTGTGCACCTCTGGGGTTTCAGATGTTTTTAGGTATGTAAGTCCATATAACCATTCTGAGGAATGAACCTCTTAAAATACGTCCTTGTTTTTCCTTCTAAGACCACTTAACGCAGACTGATAGGTTACAAAGCTTCTTGAAACACAGTCTAGGTTACACCAGTCAACCCTCTACTAAAAGTGAGGCAGGATAGTAAGAAGCTAGGAAAAGTCCTGGGCAAATGGAATAGGGAAACTGAGACAAGAAAACTAAACAAGGCCAAACAGTTTGAGCAACTTACAGCCAGCAAGACCTTACCTCCCCAACCAAGGACACTTGAGAGCAAATGGTTTATACCACTCCTTGCTAACCAGAGATACATAGCTGAAATTCCCCTGGACTGGGAGATATGTAACAAAGGCTCAGTTAATGCCATTTATGCCAGCCAAACTAAAGGATGGGTGAAGTAAGGGGAACAAATAACAACAACAACAACAAAAAAACAATTAGAGCCAGACAGACCCAAGATAAGAGCAAAGTAGTGAAAGTGACCAGAGAATAATCCCAAACTCCCTTATACACTCATTTTCACAAATCAACATATTGAAGAACACACCTGGAAAACTAATGAATGTTCTATTAAGACTCCCCTGAGATCTCCCCTAGGATTCCGGCCCTGTAGAAAGATAAAAACCCTTCAAAGACTTCGTGTGGGCTCTCTCTGGAGCACATCCATGCCTTTTCTTGGGCATGAACATTTTACTTACTTTCTCCTGAGCTCTAAGGGTCCCCACAAAACTTGCAACCAGGGGAGCAGCAGGGAGTGGCAGTTCATCCTAGGCTAACCCCCTGAACTTGTCTCCAAGGCTCCCTTTTTGTCTGAATTTCCAATGAGCTAATAGCAGCCCTGCCTTGGCTCACTTCTTTCCTGTATCATTTCTGGGGAGCCAAAGCAGAGCACAGTCTAGACTCTCTCCTATTGCTTCTTCTACCCTAAGTCCTTCCTTTGTTTCACCACCTCTAGCCTTAATAAACATTCTCTTAAAACCACCTGGAGTCATGTTGTGAAATCTTTCCTGCATGAAGTCAAGAGCACACACCCTACAGGCTGGCCTGAAGCCTGGGCCCTGTCCCATAACAGAAGGGGACCTTGGAAGTCATTACTCCTGTTCGCACCCTCTGACCAGGTTACCTAAACCACACTACATCAGTCCTTCCTGGGATCAGGGCTACACAAAAGGTGTGACAAGTATGGACAATAGCCCAGCTCTCTTGTGAGGTTTCAGGTCCTGACTTCTTATGGTTAAATATTAGTCTGCTGAGGATTGAGAGAAGAGGAACAGTGAAGGAAGGGTCTGGCCATGAGCTCTGCCTAAACTCACAGGTTTGCGGTTTTCAGCATCAAGCTGGACTTAAAAACTAAAGCTTTATCATCATTTACTCTTTTATTAAGAGCAAGCCTTACTACTCTTTTCTCTGAGGATCTTAACATAAGTAACTCTACACTATAGAAGGGGAAATGGCACCCAGCCACTAGACTAGCTTACACAGTCCTCCCACAGAGGTTGAGAGTTCTGATTGTGGCCTCACAATCCAAAAGGAATGCAATTAAAACCTCCAGAACCTTCTTCTGAGAGAGAAAAGTTCAACTCACTGCTTAAAAATACAAAGCAACTGCTTACCCAAGATGAGGAGCACCCAGGAGCAGCAATGCACTGAGCTCTGCCACAACTGCGGTTCTCCACTCTGACTGAAGAGACGCTGCAAGCAAAGAAGGTCAGGCTCAGAGAAACCAAATGCGTGAGTCCTGAGGTGGTTGCAGAGACACAGACAGGAACCTCTGAATGTAGGTTCTCATTTCAGTCATTTGGCTCATTACTCAATTTGTATTTGTACTTTCAATGTAAAAAGAGGTAATAAATTCAACCTCCTTAGGAGAACTTCATATTTCTGACCTCTGCAGGCATTCCTTCCCCTGCAAGATTACCAACTCTCTGAGAGTGGAATCTTGGGTGGCAGTGGGCAAACATTTGCTGAGAGAAAAATCAGACTTGGGCAAACAAAACACAATAAATTTAAGATAAACACAAAACATCATGTCTTTTTTAAAAATATAGCAACCTCTCTTATTTTTCTCTCTCAACACAGAGGTGTGATACAGGCAGGCAATCCCCCAATCCCTGCTTCCAAGCTATGCCTGCTCAGTCCTCCAACTCACCACCTAGACAGGTCAGTTTCCTCTGACCTTGTGATATAAGTATTTCCAGGAAACAGATAGCATTTCATTCCCCCAGAGAATCCCTTGGGTGTCTTGGACATCCTAGATAAGAAGTCAAGACTTTTCACTTCAAGGTATCTTTTGCTTTTAGGTCACCACTTCAAAATAAGTGTTCCCAATGTACACGCCTTCCACATTGGCTGGACTGGCTTGACCTACACATGGGCACACTTGCAATTTGTCCTGTATCATTTGAAAAGTTGTTGAATACTTGCTCTTTTCAAGGACTATGCTCCATGGTTCTTGAGAAGTCATGTCCTGGTAAGTCAGCAGTTTACCTAAATATACCCACCATGACCTATTTCAAGCTACCAGCAATGTAGCATGAGGAATTGAAATATTCTTAAAAATTTAGCTCTGGCTGGTGTGGCTCAGTGGATTGAGTGCTGGCCTGCAAACCAAAGGGTTGCAGGTTCAATTCCCAGCCAGGGCACATGCCTGAGTTGCAGGTCAGGTCCCAAGTTGGGGGTATATGAGAGGCAACCACACATTGATGTTTCTCTCCCTCTCTTCCCCTCTCTCTAAAAATAAATAAAATCTTAAAAAAACATAGCAACTCCAATTATCTAAAAAAAAAAAAATTAAGCCTGGCTGGCATAGCTCAGTGGATTGAGCGTGGGCTGCAAACCAAAGTGTCGCAGGTTTGATTCCCAGTCAGGGCACATGCCTGGGTTGCAGGCCATGACCCCCCAGCAACCACACATTGATGTTTCTCTCTCTCTCTATCTCCCTCCCTTCCCTCTCTAAAAATAAATAAATAAAATCTTAAAAAAATTAACAATTGGCTCTTGATATGTGAGCTGGATCCAGCACACCACTGAATTTATGCAAGTTCTCAGTGAGGTGCAGCTCAGAGATGAATGGGTTACTTGGTGCTGAAAACCACAAACCTGCCCCTCTTACATATGACAGTTCTCATCTTATATGTAGATATACACTAGAAAGTGCAAAGAAGTTTATTAACTATGATGTGGTAAAGAGATCAAGCCTGACAATGTCTGTGCACATGGCCCAATAGGTACATGTTCTCTTACCTAAAGACAAAAATAATAAAATACAGTGAAATGCAGCAATTAACAGTCTAACAGTACAGCACTGGGGTCAAAGGCATGGAGCTGCCTCTCCTGACAGCCAAGTTTTGAGATGTGCAATTAAATGGTAGTCTTGGTCCACCCCCTGTGGATCTTTTTAAAGCTCCCCTTTGGAACCATAACAGAGTGGCACATCAGAATATTCAGATTCAGGATCTGGCCTCCAGTATTTAAGGCAGAGACATGCAATATTCCCCCTTGAAGTACCAGTATCTAATTTGGGAGTTGCAGAGAACTAAGCTGTTCCCCAAAAAGCCTAAGGCAACAGGCCACATGGGAAAAACACCAAGCATTCTGTAACTTCACATTTGGAAACAGAATTAAGAGTTAGATGCACAAAACTCATAAAGTAATATAACCAGAAATAAATACTTGAGCAGCCAAAGAAAAATTCTCAAAGGCTTTTAACCCCTTCTGAAGACTTCAGAATTAAATTCCTTTTCTAGACAAGGCTGGTCTCCATAGAGTGTGATAAAAACTCATGGAACATCAACAAGATAAAGAATAGCACCTAGAATATATTAGAACAGAGGAACAAAAACACTTTTTCTTCCTTCCTTAAAGAAAGCAGGTGTTCAAACACTGCCTTGTGCTCCTTTGAAGAAGAAAGCTATAACCCAGACCTCAAAATAAGAAATGAAGAAGGAAAACTGATAGCAGCCTTATGACTGTGATGTGAACACAAACCCATGGAGCTGACTCAATTACCAACGTACTCTCTTCCTATGAAGGACTCTGTTGCTCATTCATTTCAAAAGCAAGGGACTGCTTCAAATCATGATCAGAGCTACAAAACAACACAACTAAGGATTCATAGAGCACCATTTGCCTGAAGTGACAAACATATCACACAGGATTAATCCTGAAAACATGGCTGAGAGAAAATTACAAGAAAATCCAGCTAAAACTAGTTCCTCATTTAATGGGATGTGGCTTTAACTGGGTTCCCAGAATATCATCTTTACCAAAGAAATGAGGACCTACAAAAAGTGTGCCTCACAATTACATCACCATCTTCAAATCCTCTAGAGCCTAAATTATTTACTCTTACTGCCCAAACTGTTTCCCTCTCTCTACTGAGGTGCCAGACTGGCCCACTACATTGGCCCCAGACAACCACATACTTAAGAAGTAGTCCTACACTGTGAGGTTTAACCACTGGAAATGTAAACTGCTAATTGTATCCTGTCACTTCTACTTCCTTACAGGACCAGAGGTAAATCATAATGTCTATTAACTAGCCAGGCTCTAATCTATGGACAAGGTTAACAAAAGAGGCCAGGCCAAATCTATGAGACATAGCTAACAAATCAAATTTTTAAAAATAGATCTTGGCAAAGAATATAAAAGTGATATTTAATAACATATACAGTGTATAATGTATGTACAATGGCAATGTGCTGAGCCACCTAGTGAAGAGCATGGGGAGGGACTATCCTGATGAAAAAACAAAGAAGGGGTAATTTTTGTCTCTCATACTTGAGAAGAGAACTATATCACTCTATCACAGAGGACTACACTGTCAGTCCTTCCTGACATGTCATACATATTTCTTAATGGCTTATAGAAATTCTCATGTAAATTAAAGTTTAAAATAGGCTGCTGTAGGTAAGGGAAGGAAGTTGATATAAGGGTGAGAGAGATCAGAAGGGAGAAGTATAGGTTATGACAACATCACTTCCTTATCTCAAATATTATATAAAAACAGTTTGTAAATACCTCAGTTCACTCATATTTGGTTCATTTTATAAATCAAAAAACATTTTCAAGGCAACACAGGTTAAAAGAATATTTCCTTGTAAATAACTGGTAATATACTCTATATAGTCCCACAAAATCTTTTGGAGAGTTTTTCTTGCCTCTGATTTTAATGTCAAGAAGGAAACCAATCCTAAGAAAGTAAAATAACAAGTTGTACCTGGCAAGAAAAAAAAAAGGACTCCCTCTATCTCACCATTCCTTTACTTGACTGTAAATTGATAACACTTTAAAAACCCACTCAAAGCACTTACTCCTGAGCCTATCAACTCTATGGAAATTAATGTTATATGCTCCAAGTCACCCAAACATAATTGATGATGAGATAATTAAACCAGTGAGTAATATGCTGCATGCTAATTCACAGTTGAAAATGTTCAGGGAGCAAAAAAACCCAAACATTTTGTCTGGTAGCATATCAGGAAGCTACAAAGCTCTATTTCATTTAAAAAAATTTGGTATCAGCAGTGTGGTCAACATTTAGGATTCTCCCTCAAATTGGAATAAAACATGTAATACATTCAAAAGCAAAGGTGAAATAAAAAGTATCTTTGTGTTCAGGAGAAGAATTCTTTCATTCAATTAGAGTATGATATTAAAAGGGGTAGTTATGAGTCTCTTCTGAAAGTTTCCAAACAGTTTATAAATACAAAAAGATCATTTCTTCAATAAATAAATGGTTCCTAAAGTCTTGACTGATGAATTCAAGAATCTTCTATCACTAGTCTCCAGGTCAGCTCCACTTCTCTGAGAGGCTTTAGCTGCCAGTGGAATGGGATATTTTCGGTTATTAGGTGATTCTTCTCATATCATGCAGACTTTCATCAATATGTCTCTTCACAGTCTGAATCCTAGAGGGGAAAAAACAGTAGTTGTGGTATATATGTGAAGTATAATACAACAGCCAGAATTTAGCCAAAGGCCAAACATCAGGATCTCCCAAACAGAACCTAGTTTGGGGCAGTATCTACTGTGAGGTGGCAATGACTCAATACACCTAAATTCCCATGAAGCATCCCAGGGCCTCAATATAATTGGCAACTATTGGGTGAATTCCTGCTTTGAAACCCTAAGCATTCCCTTTTCCTTGGTGATTTTTAAAAACCTGAACACTCATTAAAAGATGCCTGTCTACTGCAGAATGTGTAGGACTGTAGCTTGGAGTTTAGGCTAGGAGTCAGTCTACCTCTGAGTTTTAACCCCTTGCTGGCTGTGTGACCCTGAGTAAAATTATTTAACTTCTCTAAGCCTCAGTTTCCTCATCTGTAAAACTAGGATAATAAAAATACTAATACTGCATACAGCAGCTATGGGAATTAAATGAGACAATGTATGTAAATCACTTAATACTGTGCCTGGTTCTTTGTAAGCACTCATTCAAGATTAGCTAATCTTACCATTATTTTTATTACTCAAACTTGTACTCATTGCTTCAAGCCTCAAGTGGGCCATTACCACCACGTGGCACATTTCTCTAGTCCATTCATTCTCCTACTCTCTTAGATGACTATTTCATACCTTTCCCACTTTCCCCACCTCCAAAATCTTCTCACTTCATTCTCAGCTGATGATCTTGATTGCTCCCATGATGGAAATAGAAAACCAGTCAGTAGTGAACTTCCACAAGCTCCCATCATCATATTTACTTACTCATCTACATCTGGGCCCATCTACCTGGCCTTCCTTATTCTTCTTATAGATACACTCTCCCTGCCCTATGTAAGGCCAACATCTTCACTTGTGCACTAGATCCTGGAGTCAATCCAGCGATCCTCACCTCTCTCTTTTCTGATATCTATTTTTCTTTCTCTACTGGCTCATCTACTATCACATACAAATGTACTATTAAGTTCTCCCATATTAAATAGAAAAGCAATTCTTGACATACACTTCCCTCTGACTATTGCCCTATTTCTATGCATCCCTCCACAGGAAAAAAAAAAAAAAAAAAACTCCTTGTAAGAGTTGTTTATACCCACTGTCACCAGCAAATATCTTTGTATTCTTTCTTAACCTTACCCTGGTTCAGCTTTCATCCCACTATTCCACTGAAGCTGCTGTGCCAAAGTCACCAATAACCTCCACATTATCATATCATCCAATAATCAATGCTCATTTTACCCAACCTGACCCAGCAGCAATTGGCACACTCATTCTCTCTTCTCTTTTGCAAACACTTTCTTCACTTGGCTCCCAGGATACCAAACTCTCCTGGTTTTCCTCCTACCTCACTGGACATTTCTTTTTAGCCTCCTTTGCTAATTCCCCCGCATCTCCCCAATCTATCAACCATGGAGAACTCCAGGACTTAGTCCTTTGACTCCTCTCTATCTATACTCATTTCCCTAGTAGAAATGGCTCTACCAGTCCTTACCTGCTAATGATTCCTAAATTTATATTGCCAGTCTAGAGCTCTCTTCTGAACTCCACACCTATATAACCAATTGCCTACTCCAATCTCCACAACTATTTCAAATTTAATACATCCAAATTCAGCTCCCAATCTTCCTCCAAAAACCTGTTGTACCCACAGACTTGTTACATGTTAGAAAATAGCAACTCTATTCTACTAGTTGCTCCTCTCACTCTTTCATATTTACATGCAACCTATAAGTGAAACCTCTGGCTTTACCTTTAAACTATAATAAGAATATAACTACTTTATACCACTTCTACTACCACCACCTTGACCCAAACCAACACTATCCCCTCTCACCTGCATTTTTAGAGTCTCCTAATTGGGCTCTCTGGTTCTGTCAAGGTCCCTTACCACCTATTCTCAATACAGAAGCCAGATGACCCTTTAAAAACATACATCAGGAAGCAGAGTCCTACACCAAATCCCAAAGAGGCCCACACCAAGACACATCATAGTTAAAATACAAAAGGTTGAAGACCAAGAGAGAATCTTAAAAGCAGCAAGAGAAAGGCAGTTAGTTACCTACAAGGGAGCTCCCATGAGACTGTCAACTGGTTTCTCAACAAAATTTGCAGGCCAGAGAGGCAGGTATTAAATATTCAACATGATGAAGAGCAAGGACCTACATTCAAGATTACCCAGCAGAGCTGTCACTTAGAATTGAAGGATTTATAAGGAGCTTTCTACAGGAAAAAGCTGAAAGACTTCATCACCACCAAACCAGTATTATAAAAAATGTAAGGGGTCTTCTTTAAAAAGAAAATAAGATCTAAAACATGAATAATAAAATGGCAATAAATACATGTCTATCAACAACTGAATTTTAAAAACAGAGTAAATGAACAAAGCAGAACAGAAACAGACTCATAGATACAGAGAACATTTTGATGGTTTCCAGCTGGGAGGAGGCTGGGAGGATGGATGAAAAAGGTGAAGGGATTAAGAAGTACAAATTGGTTGTTATAAAACAGTCATGGGGATGTAAAGTCATGGGGAATGTAGTCAATAATATTGTACTAACTATGTACTATGTCAGATGGGTACTAGATTTATCAGGGGGATCACTTAGTAAGTTATATAGATGTCTAATCACTGGGGTACACACAAGAAAGTAATATAATATTTTATGTCGACTGTAATTGAACAATAAAAAATTACTGAAAGTAAAAAAGAAAAAGTTCTTTGACGGCAGATATTTTTGTCTGTTTTGTTCACTGCTATTTCCTAACTACCTAGAGTCATATCTGGCACGCATCAAATGCTCCATCAATAACTTATCAAAATATCCAAACTCTAAAGGGTTGGTATTAGATCTTCTCCACTGGCACTTTCTTTTTTTTTCTTTTTTTAAAATTTTATTTTAATTATTGTTGCAGTACAATTTTCTATCTTTTACTCCCATCCCAACCCACCCACCCAGTGCTCCCCACCTCCCTCCCATTTCCACCCACCCCTAGTTTTTATCCATGTGTCCTTTATACTTGTTCCTGTATACCCTTCCCCTTTTTCCCTGAAATTCGCTCTCCTCTCCCCTCTGAACTATGTCAGTCTGTTCTCTATTTCAGTGTCTTTGGTTATATTTTGCTTGTTTCTTTGTTTTCTTGTTTAGGTTCCTGTTAAAGGTGAGATCATATGGTATTTGTCTTTCACTGCCTGGCTTCTTTCTCTTAGCATAATGCTTTCCAGTTGCATCCATGCTGTTGCAAAGGGTAGGAGCTCCTTCTTTCTTTCTGCTGCATAGAATTCCATTGTGTAAATGTACCATAGTTTTTTGATCCATTAATTTACTGATGGGCATCTAGGTTGCTTCCAACACTTGGCTATTGTAAATTGTGCTGCTATGAACATCGGGGTACATAGGTTCTTTTGGATTGGTGTTTCAGGGTTCTTAGGATATAATCCTAGCAGTGGAATTGCTGGGTCAAAAGGCAGATCCATTTTTAGTTTTCTGAGAAAATTCCATACTGTTTTCCATAGTGGTTGTCCCATTCTGCAATCCCACCAACAGTGCACTAGGGTCCCATTTTCTCCACAACTTCTCCAACACTTGTTGTTTCCACTGGCACTTTCCCTCATCTTACCTATTACACTGAAGTACCAGAGAAAGAGGAATAAAGAACACTGCAATGAGTAATTAGGCTGTGGTCATCTGGCTAAGTGCTGAGTTTGGCTATAGTAAGTACAAAAAGGGCCCGGGTTTAAACCATAAAATGACAGGTATGCTTCATATTAGATCAGTTACTTTTGAGCTGTTTCCAACTGGACCACATAAGGAAAGCCTTTCTTTATCCTAGGATCCTGGGATAGCCACACAAACCTATCAGTCACAGCAAGTGCTTGAAAGGAGAGAAATGGCAACCTTTTGAAATTTAAATCAAAATTCAGTCCTTCCAACCTGAGCATTTCTTACTGACAAAGCCATTAAGTCACCTAAATGGTTATATCACTCTAATTCCATGGGGAAAAAAAACTGAGGCTCTGCAGAAAAGTTCAATTCAGGGCTCTGGGTCCAGCCAGTCAAAGTCTCCTAGCATGACTTCAGTGGCAGAACACACCACGTTCAGGATGTTCTCTGTCAATCAGCAGAGAAAGCTCTACACTGTCCCCTTCTATAATCCAAAGACACCCCTCTCTGCCCATGAAAGAGAAAACAAAATAACAATTAGAGTTTGGGGGTAGGGGACTCCCTGAAACCAAAATGCTTTGGAGGAAGACCTTGACTGATACCATGCTTTGGGCCTGCTGGAATGACCTCTGCTCCCTCTAAGGGCAAAGGAAAAGAAGTAAGCAAAAGAGTGAAACATGAACAGGGGACAGAAGAAATGGCATAAGCTTACCAAGCACTCAGCACAACGGACGCAAAGCCTTGCCATGCAGTCACCTTCCTCCTCTTGGTCAGTGCTGTAAAAAGGGACAAACCAAATAAGAACAATCACAAGGTCAGTGTATTAGAGCAGTTAAAAGCACAGGCATTAAAGTCAGACAGATCTGGTTTTAAATTCCAGTTCTGCCACTTATTATCAGGGTAACTGGGCAAATTACTTAAGTTCCAGGAGCCTGTTTCCCCTATAAAATGTAGATAGAGGATAGTGGTTTGGAGTAAAGAAAAAATAAAAACACATAAAATATATACCACACTGCCTGGCACATAGTGAGGGTTCAATAAATAGGAGCTAGTCCCAGTCATTCATTTAGAAATATACTGAGCACCAAGTATGTATAAGGCACTGTGGTAGGCTGGGGATAAAGAGCTCATAGTCTTGGACTTCCGGCCAAGATGGAGGCATAGGTAGACACACTGTGCCTCCTCGCACAACCAAAATAAGGACAACAATTTAGAAACAAAATAACAACCATAACTGACAAAAAATTGAACTGTATGGAAGTCCAACAACCAAGTAGCTAAAATAGACACATTCATCTAGACTGGTAGGCAGGGTGGAGTCAGAGGGCCGGCAGAGAGGGGTCGAGGCACAAAAAGTGATGGCACTGGGCACACAAGACACCCCACCCCAGCTATCCAAGATGGCAGTAGGTGGACCCTGGGTGCACAGGTGGTAGCTAGTAGACTCAAGTGTGGGGTGGCAATAGGCAGACCCAGCAAGGCAGGGATTGTGAAGCAAGGCACTGAGCGCAAGGCAGCTGGCTGACCAGGTGGTCCCACATTCACACACAGATAAACCAGGCAAAACTGGGGAGTGAGACAGACCACGCAGGCCTCAAAACATGGATTGAAAACACCTGTGGGGGTTGAGGCGCAGGGAGAGACTCCCAGGCTCATAGGAGAGTTCAATGGAGAGACCCACAGGGTCCTGGAACGTACACAGGCCCACCCACATGGGAATCAGCACCAGAAGGGCCCAGTTTGCTTGGGGGAAGCTGCGGAGGGTACTGGGATCCAACAGAGAGCAGAGCGGGTGCCACTGTTCCCTGTTGGACCCCAACCCCACACACAGTGTCACAACCCAGCAACTTGGGTTGCCCCGCCCCAGTGAACACCTAAGGCTCCAACTCTCATACATAACAGGCACTACAAGACACACACACACATATACACACAAAAAGACCCAAATGAAAGAACGGATCAAAGCTCCACAGCAAATACAACTAAGCAACCAAGAGATAGCCAACCTATCAGATGCACAGTTCAAAACACTGGTGATCAGGATGCTCACAGAATTGGTTGAATTTGGTTGAAAATTAAATGAAGAAATGAACACTACGCTAAGTGAAATGAAGGAAAATACACAGGGAACCACTAGTGATGGAAAGAAACCTGGAACTCAAATCAATGGAGTGGACCAGAAGGAAGAAAGAAACATCCAACCAGAAAAGAATGAAGAAACAAGAATTCAAAAAAATGAGGAGAGGCTCAGGAACCTCCAGGACATCTTTAAACATTCCAACATCCGAATTATAGGGGTACCAAAAGGGAAAGAGGAAGAGCGACAAGTGGAAAAGTTATTTGAACAAATAATAAAGGAGAACTTCCCCATTCTGGCAAAGGAAATAGACTTCCAGGAAGTTCAGGAAGCTCAGAGAGTCCCAAATAAGTTGGACCCAAGGAGGAACACACCAAGGCACATCATAATTACATTAGCCAAGGTAAAAATGAAGGAGAGAATCCTAGAAGCAGCAAGAGATAAGGAGACAGTTACCTACAAAGGAGTTCCCATCAGACTGTCAGCTGATTTCTCAAAAGAGACCTTGCAGGCAAGAAGGGGCTGGAAAGAAGTATTCCAAGTCATGAAAGGCAAGGACCTACACCCAAGATTGCTCTATCCAGCAAAGCTTTCATTTAGAATGGAAGGGCAGATAAAGGGCTTCTCAGATAAGGTCAAGTTAAAGGAGTTCATCATCACCAAGCCCTTATTATATAAAATGTTAAAGGGACTTACTAAGAAAAAGAAGATAAAAAACATGTACAGTAAAATAACAGCAAACTCACAATTATTAACAACCACACCTAAAACAAAAACAAAAACAAACTGAGCAAACAACTAGAACAGGAACAGAACTACAGAAAGGGAGATCACATGGAGGGTTAGCAACAGGGGAGTGGGAGGAGGAGAGAGGGGCAAAAGGTACAGAGAATAAGTGGCATAGATGGTAGGTAGAAAATAGCCAGGGGAAAGGCAAGAATAGTATGGAAAATAGAGAAGCTAAAGAACTTACAACACATGGACATGAACTAAAGTGGGGGAATGTGGGTGGGAGAGGGTGTGCAGGGTGGAGGGGAATGAAGTGGGGGAAATGGGACAACTGTAATAGCATAATCAATAAAATATATTTTTAAAAAAAGAGTTCATAGTCTCTTGGGGGTGAGAGACCTCTTGAAACTTAACAAGTACATTATTATATAATACAATAATATAAATGTTTTAATGAAGTTAAGGTCAAACTTCTCTGGCAGCAAAAAAGAGGGAGTGACTAATTTTCCTTGCAGGACCCAGGAAAACTCAACAGAAAGGGACATTTCAGCTGGGTCTTACATGATAAGGAACAGTATGCTAGGTGAAAAAAAAGGAAAGAAGGAGGGGATTCCAGGTGAGAGAGTAGGATGTGGAGCGGGGATGGAGTACGACCTGAATAGGTATAGTATGTGGAGAAAAGAAAGTAAGCTCACTGTAGCTGGAATATGGATCAAATGAGAAGAAATGGTAGAAAACAACATGACTTTTTCGAACTTCCTATCCATTTTAATGAGATATCCACATCAGATTTTACATTCAGAACCAAAGAATCATAAAGTCTGATTTCCAAAGTAGAAAACAAGGACCATACAATCAACCCTTCCATCTCTCTCCAAATTAATATCCACAGGTTTCACTTTCAACTTTCCCTGTAGTACTGCTCAGCAGAACTCTTTTCTTCAAAAGAAGTTTCAACCCTGGTCAGTGTGGCTCACTCGGTTGGGGTGTTGTCTGGGAACCAAAAGGTTGCAGGTTCAATTCCCAGCCAGGGCACATACCTAGGTTGTGTGTTTGATCTGTCATGGCACATATGATTCTCAGTCTGGGCAAGTGCAATCCCCAGTCATGGTATATACGGGAAGCAACCAATCAATGCATCTCTCTCACATCCATGTTTCTCTCTCTCCCTTCCTTCTCTACCTCCCTCTGTCCCTTCCTCTCTCTCGGAAAGCAATGAAAAAAATGTCCTCAGGTAAGGATAAAAAATTTTTTTTTAATAAAAAGGCGCCCTGACTGGTGTGGCTCAGTAGATTGAGCTTCAGCCTATGAACCAAAGAGCCACCAGTTCAATTCCCAGTCAGGGCACATGCCTGGGTTGTGAGCCAGGTCTCCAGTTGGGGACATGCAAGAGGCAACCACACATTGATGTTTCTCCTCCTCTCTTTCTCCCCTCCTTCCCTCTCTCTAAAAATAAATAAATAAAATATTAAAAAAAACAAAAACAAAAAGGGCCCTGGCTGGCGTAGCTCAGTGGATTGAGTGTGGGCTGTGAACCAAAGCATTGCAGGTTCGATTCCCAGTCAGGGCACATGCCTGGGTTGCAGGCCATGGCCCCCAGCAACCGCACATTGATGTTTCTCTCTCTCTCTTTCTCCCTCCCTTCCCTCTCTAAAAATAAATAAATAAAATCTTAAAAAAAAAGGAAATTTCCACAGCAGAACTAGTCTCAGCCTGGAAGAAAGGAAGGCATGGGTGCAGTGACCTTGGTACCATCCACAAAGCAGGGATCTGAAGAGGAAATGGATTTACTGGACTTACTCATCTGAAACCTCAATAGATGACTTCTTAAAGCCTGATTTGCTCCTCTTCTTCAGCCTTGCAGACTTCCTCCCCATTCTCACCAGCAGCAGAACCACCACCACAGTTGAGGGAATGAAAACAAGAATGGAAAGAAGTGCCACTGAGGAGAGCATGGTGCCAAAACCTAGAGAAGGAAAAGAGAAGGTAAAAGAGAGGGACATTCAAAAATGTTTCCTTGGATATGAGATAGGTTTTACTTTCACCTTTTCATTTCCTCACATTACAAAAGGAATAAATTGGATGTAGAAAATGTAGAAAATATATAAAAAATAATAAAAATTTACCCATAATCCTACTACCTAGGACTGACACATTAGTATCTATCTATTCAATTGTCTTTCTAAGTATATGTGAATATGGGTCTGCATATAGGGAGGACAGTGTATATTTTAAAAGTTACGAATAATATTTTATATATTATTCCTAACCTCCTGTTTTACTTAATATATGATAAGTATTTTCCATGTCATTAAAAGTTCCTTCCAGATGTGATTTTTTAAAAAGCTGCATAGTATTCTACCATATTGAGTAATTTAATGACTGTCTTCTATTGATGAACATACAAATTACTTCCAATTCTTTGAATTTATGAGTTATATTATGATGATCATCACTGTACATAAATCCTCATGCTTAGCTCTATTTCTTTAAGATAAAATTTTTAAATAGAATTCTAAATTAAAGGGTATATCTTTTTAAGGCATCTATTCATACAACCGTCTTTCAGAAAAACTATATTAGTTTCTACTCCCCCCACCAGTGTGAATGTGTTCATGTCTTTGAAATTTATGGGTTATTATCTTTAAAAAAAACCATAATATAGTCCTGTATCTCTAAGTCTTTGGTTCAAATCCAACTAAGGACTAGAATGTTCAAATGTCATCAGGAAATAACACAGAAAATAAAGATTAGTCCTTAACCTACTCTCCTTCTGTTTCATACTAAAAGGAAAGTGCTGGTCTTTGCAACACCAAGGAAATGTGCCGCCTCTATTACTGGAGTGGGAGGTACCCTTTCAAGACACAGGTAAGAACACTGTCTCATAACTAAGGCATGAACATACTAGGGAAACCAGAATGACTTCTTTATGGCAGAGACAACAACCCTCATTTATTACAGGATTTGTCATACATCCCACACACCTCTGGCAACACGAAGACTTAACAAAAGGAGAGGTGGGGGAGATGAAGAAACTATGACAGTATTTGATGAAAAACTTCAGCTTGCAAAATAAAGATTAAAATATTAATCCCAATAGAGGGGCTTCTGGCCAAAATGGGGGGCTTCTGGCCAAAATGGAGATGTCAGTATTCTTCACTTCCTCACACAACCTAAAGAAGGACAACAACCAATGTAAAATCAAAAAGCAACCAGAACTGCCAGAAAATCAAAATGTATGGAAGTCCAATGACCAAGGAGGTAAAGAAGAAACGTTCTTCCAGACTGGCAGGAGGGGTGGAGATGGGCAATTGGTGCAGACAGGAAATTCGGCAAGGCAGTGACTGGCAGACTGGAGGTCCCACATTCTCATGTGGATAAACCAGGAGGAACAAGTGGGGAGCAAGTTGGGAACAGACTGCGCAACCCAGGGACCTAGTGTGGGAAACTAAAGCTTCAAAACCACTGGCTATAAAAACCTAAGGGGGTAGAGGTGGGAGAAACCTCCAGTCTTACAGGAGTCCATTGGAGGGGCCCATAGGCTCCTAGAATGTACAAAAGCTAAGTCACCCAGGAATCAGCACCAGAAGGGCCTAATTCACTTGTGGGTAGTGGTGGAAGTGACTGAAAGCAGGACAAGAACTAAGCAAATGTTATTGTTCCCTCTTTGATCCCTCCCCCACATACAGTGCCACAATGGAGCAAAGTAGGTAGCCCTGCCCTACCTAAAACTCCGCCCTTTACAATGTAACAGTTGTGCCAAGACAAGGAAATATGGCCCAAATGAAAGAACAGATCAAAACCCCAGAAAAAGAACTAAGTGACGAGGTGATAGCCATCCTATCAGATGCAGAGTTCAAAACACTGGTAATCAGGATGCTTAAAGAAATGAGTAAGGACACAAAATAAAGGAAGAAGTGAAGGTTATGCAAAGTGAAATAAAGAGAAATATACAGGGAACCAACAGTGCCCTGTATCACTCAAATCAATGATTTGGAGCAGAAGAAATAAACATGCAACTGAAACAGAATGAAGAAACAAGAATTCAAAAAAATAAGGAGAGGCGTAGGAACCTCTGGGACAACTTTAAATGTTCCAACATCTGAATCATAGGGATGCCAGATGGAGAAGATGAAGAGCAAGAAATTAAAAACTATTTGAGAGAAATAATGAACCCCTGGCTGGTGTAGCTCAGTGGATTGAGTGCCAGTCTCTGAACCAAAGGGTTACTGGTTCAACTCCCAGTCAGGGCACATGCCTGGGTTGCAGGCTGGGTCCCCAGTTGGGGGTGTACAAGAGCAACCACACATTGATGTTTGTCTCCCTTTCTCCCTCCCTTCCCTTCTCTCTAAAAATAAATAAATAAAATATTTTTAAAAAGAAAAGAATACTTTAAAAAAGTAATAATGAAAGAAAACTTCCCCAATCCAATGAAGGAAATAGGCTTGCAAGTTCAGGAAGCTTAGAGAGTCCCAAACAAGTTGGACACAAGGAGGAACACACCAAGACACATCATAATTAAATTACCCAATATTAAAGATGAGACGATCTTAAAAGCAGCAAAGGAAAAGGAGTGACAGAGCTACAAGGAGTTCCCAGAAGACTATCAGCTGACTTCTGAAAAGAAACCTTGCAGACAAGAAGGGGCTGGAAAGAAGTACTCAAAGTCATGAAGGCAAGGACCTACATCCAAGATTATTCTATCTAGCAAGGCTATCATTCATTTAGAATGAAAGGGCAGATAAAGGGCTTCCCAGATAAGGTCAAGTTAAAGGATTTTACCATCACCAAGCCCTTAGGATATGAAACGTTAAAGGGATTTCTCTAAGAAAAAAAAGATCAAAACTGAAAAGTAACATGGCAACAAACTCACAACTATCAACAACTGAACCTAAAAAGAAAAAAAAAAACTAAACAAGCAACTAGAACAGGAACAGAATCACAGAAGTGGAGATCACCTGGAGAGTTATCTGAGTGGAGGGAGAAGGGGAGAACGGGGGTAAAAGGTACAGAGAATAAGAAGCATAATTGATAGGTAGAAAATAGACAGAGGGAGATTAAGAATAATATAGGAAAAATGGAGAAGCCATGTATGACCTATGGACTAAGGAGGGTGGGGGACCAGTGGAGGGGGATATAGGGGAGAAAAAAATGGGACAACTGTAATAGCATAATCAATAAAATATACTTTAAAAAATCATCCTAATAGACAATTCAGGATGGCAGAATCCTCCAAAGACCAACTGGACTACAAAGATAGGTAGTTTTGCTTGTCTTTGATCTGTCCAAAAAGCACCACAGTAGTCACTGGGTACTGCAGAAAAAGGTTAGTGACAGTTAGCTTACCCCTTTCTGTGACTATTAGCTCTGTCATAGGAATGTTATGGTGCACATCTGGGGGATTCTTCACAGCACAGCTGAATGTCCCATTGTCCTTCATGGTAGGGTTGTTTATGCTTATGGATGCATCCCCTTTGTATACATCTCCAACCCAGGAAATTCGATCTCGAAATGTGCCTGCTGTGGTTGGGTACTGGAAGGACTGATAATGAAAAATCTAAGAAAGCAACACCATGAGAAAAAAAAGTTAATTTGGAAAATGCAATGAAAATGTAGTAGGTCTAAAATAAAATACAAATGTGTAACCAGTTTTCTCAGTTGAGCATTTTTTTATGCTTTGTTCACCTCCATCCTGTAGGTTAAAAGACGGGTTAATGAAACATCAGAAAAAGGCCTGATGAAAGAATCTTGGTACCCTAACTCTCAAACCTCTTCTAAATTCTTCCTAAAGTCCTAAAGCAGTTCTCAGCCAGGGGCAATTTTGTCCTCCAGTGAACATTTGGCAATATCCAGCACCAATTTTCGTTGTCACAGTTGGGGGGAATACTATTGGTATCTAGTGGGTACAATACAGGAATATTACTAAAAATCCCAAAATACATAGAACAGCCCCCATAACAAAGAATTATCCAGTTTAAAATATCAACAGTGACAAAATTAAGAAACCCTATTCCCAAGTAGCATCTAATATAGTACTGTATGGTTTGCAAATGAATTCTATGCATTTGCCATTTGAGCCTTATAACAACTATATACAGGGCAAGTATAATTATTTCATATTTATAGGAGGAGGAATGAGGCCAAAAAAAGAAAACAACTGAGTTACTAAAGGTACAGAGCTAATAAATGGAAAAGGGGAGATTTTTTTATTTTCTCAAAATCACCAGGAGGGTATAATATAATCAAGCCTCTCTCAAGCTATCTATCTTGATGATTAATAAAAATCCCAAGTCAAAAACATGATCAGTACTCAATGAATGTATTCTGAATTAAAAAACTGCTTCAGATAAGTGATCAGACACATTATCACCAAAAGCACTTACTGGAATTTTATCTGGCTGCAGGCCCCTTCAGGTACCACAACACAATATGATATCTCTGCCCCCATCTCTCTCCCCACCCCTGCCTCCCTCCCTCCCATGCAAGAGTCAAGGCTTTCCTCTTTATTTGTTTACTTGGTACCTCCCCATTTAGGAACAAATGTCCAATTTTAAAGAGCAACTTCCCAAAGAAGATGCTGAATCACTTACTGGTTCATTTGTTCAGGTATTCATTCAACAAATATTTACTGCACACCTATTATGTGCCAGGCACTGTGTTAAGCAAAAGGATATAGTGAGAGCCAAATGAGCACAATCCCTGCTCTCATGGAATTTATAGTCTAGTGGGAGATACAGATGTTAAGAAATAATATGTGCAATGTATATTCCAAAAAGGGAGGTAAAGAATGCCTACTGCTGATTATCAGCATCAGCATGACAGGGTTTGAAATTCCTTATTGACAGAACAAGGCTGGCTGTGTTTCTTTGAGATGAATCTAACTTCTAACTCTCAAGTTAGTAATACTCAAATCCTTGCTAACTGATTAGTCTGATAGAACCCTGACTGACCACATAACTGCAATATCATGTTATATAACATTAAACGGCCACTAATTCCAACTTGGATGAGCCGACTTTCTAACCAGACTAACAGAGACTAGCACTATATGAGAACAGCCTGCTGTTTGCAGTTAAGGCTTCTAACCCAAGAAAATCCCCATTGCTTTCTCTGTTCTATATTTTAAAAAAAGATTTTATTTTTAGAGAGAAGGGAAGGGAGGAAGAAAGAGAGGGAGAGGAACATCAAATCAATGTGAAAAAGAAACATCAGTAGGTTGCCTCTCACATGCCCCCAACCAGGACCTGACTCGCAACCTAGGCATGTGCTCTGGTTAGGAATTGAACCAGCAACTTTTCAGTTTGTGATACAATGCCCAACCCGCTGAGCCACACCAGTCAGGGCTCCTACTCCGGCCAAGGAGGCAGAACTAAATGAGGTGAGCCATAGCTCCCAATCACTCAAAATAAAGTAAATTATTTTAAGTCTAAAATAGAGGACCATGCACACAGCCTTGCTTTCTTCACTGGAGTCACCTACCTAACCCCAAGCTACATGGCATTAAATAATGACTCCTAAAAAAAATTCAGAGCTATATGTTAAAATTAAATCAAAAGTTTCTTCCAATGAAGGAAACAGGAAAAACAAATTAAAGATACTTTCAAAAATCCAATTTCATATACAGCTTTGACATTCTCATTCTTGAGAGTATCTACTCCAAACTAGGGTAATGCTAAAAGCATCAAGAGAAAGGGTTTGTTTTTTTTTTAATACCACTGCAATCTTCAATCAGACATCCACAATGGGATCTGAATCATAAATTGTTTTATATGTGTGACTGAAGTGTATCACTTCTGGTAGTGCAAGACCATCTGTCACCAACAGCATCTGTCATCAACATCAGGTGCTACTAATTCCTTCCAAGAGTACTATATAAATCAATGTAGATGTTTACACAATGGGAAAAGATGCCAAGATAAATCTAGAGTACAGATACTGAGGCAGATACACCCAGAGACAACTTTATATGGCAGTAAATGAGCAGCTTTGAAAGAAAGGATGACTAGAACTGGACACCTATAGGATTTTCCTATCCAACAGTCCTGGAAGTACCATTTCTTAGTACATGGAAATCTGAAAATGATATTATGCAGCCAGGCAAAAAGAAACAACAAAGGGGAAACAAAATTAAACCACATTTCCTCTGAATTTCTGACAACTTTTTTTCCAATAGCTTATTTGCAAAACTCTTACAGAGAATAAAAATCCTTACGTGACCAAATGGGTGTCATGTAGGGCAGCAGCTCATCTCCTATTGAAATAGAAGCTCATCTTCTATTCTAAGATGAGAAGGCCTAAGGAATGCCTGGGACTTGGAATAAAGGGATTCCTAAGCTTTAGACCACAGAGACTCAAAGAAAATTTTTGAAGTATACACTTACTGATTCTGTGCGACTGCTGCTGGGAGGTCGGTATGTCCAATCTATGGTGAGTTTGTCAGTGACAGATGAAGTCGACTTGAACATGCATTTCAACTTGATCTTTTCTCCAACATAACCCCGAACATGGGCATCCACTTTAATCTCCAAGGAAAGGGCAGTGTAAACACCTAATCAAAGCAAGCTCAAATATTTAAAGTGTTTTTATTTGGGTAGAAATACAGATGACTAAAGAACATAAAGATGCTATTTATCGTGTTTAGGACTCTCATAGAAACCACAGTAATAAATATCTTCTCATGCAAGTCCAAAAGGACAAGGAGTGGATGTCTGCAGTAATCAAGGATAGTATTTTTGTCATTTTACAATATTAAATCATAGGATGGATTCTTGGGTAAAATTTAAAAGTGGTTCCACCAGCAGTTTTCCAAATACAGACTCTTGGTTAAATTACGTTCAAACAAGTGGGTCAGCCCACAGCAGGCTAAAAGAAAACACCACCCACTCCTCTCTCTCTCTCTCTCTCTCTCTCTCTCTCTCTCTCTCTATCTCTCTATCTCTCTATCTCCTCCCTCCCTCCCTCCCTCCTGGAATATGTCAGCTATTGTGGTCTAAGGGACTTACCCCAACTACAGCATGGTTGTACCCTGAAGCTACTCCGGCTTCAACTACCAGCCAAATGAGAATGCAAAGTAAGAAAAGGATATTTTTTTCAAATAATTTTGTAAAACTGCCCTAAGGTTCTATCTAGTGTTGTTTTGGTTTTTCCTTTCTTAAAGCTGGTTAATGAATCATATATTCATTAAAAGTAAATCATGGGGAGGAAAAGAGAGCAACTTAATCCATTCTAAATGTGAACATGATATAATTTTTTTAAATCTCTACAGACTTACTCTTTCTAAAACCACATCATATGTCCAACTTTGACACTCTACTACCCTAAAAGAGTTGGCACCTCCCTCTGACCAACCCCCTCTGCTTTCAGAGAACAGTGAGTAGACATTTCTCTCCCATAGGGAGCCAATTTTTTTTTAGGGAAGTAAGCCGCCGGCCACTTTGTTTTTCCTGCTTCCTTCTCTATGGCAATAAGCCATGATTGCTTCAGCGGGCCAAAGGCAAACAGAACAGCAAATTCACACACTGTCCTGAAAACCAGGAGTTCCTTTGGTAGAGGCAGGATGCATATCCCAACCCTATCACTTGCTGGCTCTGTGATCTCAGCAAGTTACTTCTTCAGTTTTTCTCTCTAGTGGGAATAATAATAATAGCACTTATCTTAGAAGTTCACTGTGAGGAGTAAATGAGATAAAACATTTACAACACTGAGAAGCCAAACTGAACCCAGAGAGAATGTTCAATATATGTTAGCTTCATCATCATTATGGCCACATCTTCAGTTCTGCCTACACTCTTTCAACCTTTCTTATCACAGACAGTTATGAGTCATCCATTCCACTGACTTTATTTCTGCTGCTTTGAATAATTTTTCTTGCTTCTCTCCAGACAATCTAGTCTGTTCACATTCTTCTTAAAGGAGGAGACCAAGACTGACCTCACAACTCTAATAAGATCTGACCCATCCCAAAGATAATTACTTCTGGTTCATTCATAGCATCCTGACTTTGACAGAATAAACTTGTCATTTCTCTATGCCTTCGTGAATGCTGTACCTTTTCCTGAAAAGCCTTCAGCCCTCAGTCCCTACTCTCTCCTGAACTACCTTATTCATCACCCAAGATCCAGTTCTAAAAAATGGAAGGTGGAAATGAATGGGTTAACTACTCTCTCTCCATACCCTTTATTCTAAAGAATAAGCATAGCAGAGAGATTTTAAAGTACGGGTTTAGAATTAGACAGACCTGGACTTTGATTTCTAGTCCAGCTACTTTCTAGCTGTAACACTCTTATCACAGTTACTTAATCTGTTCAAACTTCCATTTCCTCACTTGGTAAATGGGAATTATAACAAGATTTACTTCACTGGATCACTGTGAGGACCTAATAAGATTAAATAACCACAAAATGCTTAGCATGGCACCAGAAATAGAAACTTTCAATAAATGTTAGCTATTATTATTAAATACCACAAACATTCAAAACCTTTCAATAATTCTCTATTGGGCTATAGAATAAAATACAAATAGTGACAGTCTGCCCCAAACATTTGCTTCTCCACCCACCTACCAATCCCATCCCCTTCACCATGCCCTGACTATCCTGCCATTTCCTAAATTTATTATGTCCTTTTATATTACTGTGCCTTTTTTTGAATGTGTCTTTGTCTGGAAGGATCTCCCCATCTCTATCAGTTCTGTCTGAGTTTCCCTCACGTACCATCCCCCAATGCTCACATGCTTTCAAAACCCAGCTCAAATATCAGGCCCCTTGTGATGTGTGCCCAAATACCCTGATGCAGTTCATTGTTCTTTCTTCAATGTTCTCATTACATTTAGTACGTAATGCTACTCTACCTATATCATTGATTACACTCAGTTTCAAAAGATGATTTCCATTAATGTACCACTTTGAGGGCAAAATTCAGAAGGAAGGAAGCAGGCAGAGAAGGGCTGAGACAGAGAAGTGAACAGGTCACCAAAAATTGTAGTGTAGGAATAAAGTGTGCTCACTGGTCACCCACTCTCTTCCTATCCCCCTTTTACTGTATTTTCAACATTCTTAAGTTCCCTACACTCCTAGATGACCATGCCTAGACTGTGACTGTTGTAACACTGAAGGAGAAAAATCACACAACTGTACAGATAGTTACCATAAGAAATTTGTGAATTCCACCCACAGCTGAGCCTTTAATGACACTGATGGCCCTTTAACTAGACTTGGTCAGCTCCTCTGATTCCTCAGACTCTGCCACTCTCTTTTATCCTCTGTGTACCTACAAATCCCTCATTCTCAGAAAATTTCTCCTCTTACTTCTTCAAGAAACTTGAGGCCATACAAACTGCTTAGCCACATACCTTCCTGTATCTGCATTCATCCTAACTTCCAACCTCAAAGAGTGTGGTGTCCCTTTTTATATGCAAGGTCAACTCCTCTGCTCTAGGGAAGACAATTAGGAGGAGTCAAGTAAATATTAAGATCACTTAGAAGGCCACTACAATAGTCAAGAAGAGAAATAAGGGGAGCTTGAATGAAGATGGTGACAGTGGACATGGAGAGAACTAGGGAGACAATACAAGCTAAAATCAGCAAGAATTGGTGACAGATCAGATATGGAATGTTAGAGAAAGAGAAGTGTCATGGATAATTCCCAAGTTCCTAACTTGGTGATACCATTCACTAATGAACACAGGGAAGACTAGAAAAGTACCGCGTTTGGCAGGAAACAACATGAGTTTTACTTTGAGTAAGTTTAAGGTGCCTTTGAGTTACATAAGGAATGATGTCAAGGGGGTAGTTGGTTTAGGGCAGGGTCAGCAAACTGTGGCTCATAGGACAAATCTAGCCCACATCTACACAAAGTTTTGTTTTGTTTTAGAGAGAGAGAGAGAAAGGGAGAGAAATATCAATGTGAAACATCAACTGGTTGTCTCCCATATGTGCCCCAAGCAGGGATCAAACCCACAACTTAGGCATGTGCCCTGACCAGGAATTGAACCCGTGACCTTTCGGTATATGGGATGATGCTTCAGCCACTGAGCCACACAGGCCAGAGCTACAAAAAGTTTTATTAGAATACAGCCATGCTGACTCATTGATATATTGTCTTGGGATGTCTTTGTGATAATCCAGCAGAGCTCAATGGTTGCAAAAGACCATGTGGCCCACAAAGTCTAAAATATTCTCTGGCTCTTTACCAAAATTTACCTACTTTGATTTAAGGCAGATATGGCAACCAACTCTACACACACACACACACACTCCACATCTCTCAGAGTTTCTATCAAATCTCTATGTGTCCTTCTTTCCTACCTATCCCTTAAACATTGGCATGCCTTCAAGTTCCATCCTTAGCCTATTGTCCTTCATTTAACACATTCTCCTTGGACAATCCTATCCACTTTTATAGATTTAACATTTCTTAATAGACTAATGATTCCCCAATCTATATTACTAGCCATCACTGTCCCTGAGTGTTCAAATATTACTAGATATATCCTTGAGTATCACCACCATAAGATCTCACATTGAATGTAGTGAACTTTTACTTGTTGCCTGCTCTATCCATTCCCCTCCTCTCCTTCCCTAACAATACACAGATTTTCTTTGGATATCCACAGTTTCCAATGTAGCCCATGAGCTTAGGGGAAGATGCATCCATCAGACAGACCCCAGGCAGGAAATAGAAGGCACAACCAACTAAGATTTTGAAAAGTGTATGAGCAACTTTTCAAAGGAACTTTTCTCAGGATCAAGGAAGCCAAAGTCAAGGCCTTTGCCACCCTCAAGCCTGAAGTAACAAAAGAAGGAAGTGGTGTTACCAGAGCCTGATAAGAGATGAAGAGACTGCCACCTGATAGAAACAGTAGTCACAGAGGGACACAGCCACTGAATCAGACTACACTACTAATCTACACATCAGGATGTTGGTTCCCCTTGGGAAAGAAGGGATGATGACTGGAAGGAAGCATAAGGAAGGCTTCTGGAGTACCAGTAATATTCTATATTCTGATTTGGGTGCCAGTTACCCAGGTGTGTTCAGTTTCTGATAAGTTATTGAACTGTACCCTTATGATATGTGCACTTTTCTCTATATATTATACTAAAACTGAACATGTTTTAAAATCAAGGGATGTAAAATCATTTGTCTCCCTCACTCAAAAAATAAATAATAAAAGATATTGATCCAATGTTACATTCATTTATAAATTTCTATCCTAGGGCTAATCTGCTTATGAATATTTCTTATCACCTGAGTAAAAAAGCATTCTTTCCATGCAAAAACAGCTAACTATAGAAATACTCATGATAATTATCAAAATTTTAATCTGGGAAGAAAACAAGAAAATGACATTTAAACATGGAAGAAATGAAAAAAATGGTAAAACTTCCAATTTTGTATACTTTTCCAAAATAAAAATCTATCAGCCTTTGATTTGTGAAATTGCTCATTTAGCCCTGGCTGGTGTGGCTCAGTGGATTGAGCACCAGCCTGCGAAACAAAAGGGTCACCAGTTTGATTCCCAGTCAGGGCACAGGCCTGGGTTGCAGGCCAGGTCCCTAGTGTGGGGCATGCAAGAAGCAACCACACACTGATGTTTCTCTCTTTCTCATTTTCTCTCTTTTCCCCTCTAAAAATAAGTAAATAAAATCATTTTTTAAAAAAAGAAAGAAATCACCCACTTAAATGAAAAAGAGAAAAGTATAAAAACCTTAGGTGCCTAATCTATTGTTTCTAATACTTAGACAACTGATAATAGCAGAACCACATTTATAACATAGGGAGAAAGCAAACAAGCTAATAATGTAATGGGTCCTATCATTGAAGAAGAAAGACAAACACTGGAACGAAACAAAGGTATCACCTAACAGATTCAAAATCAACATCCCCCCAAAAAGGATTAACCTTGAAAACATGCTAACTGAAAGAAGCTAGTCATAAGCCACCCCCTCCACATATTATAGTATTTCACTTATATAAAATGTCCACAATAGGCAAATCCATAACAATAGAAAGTAGACTGATGTATGCCAAGAGCTGGGGGAAGAGAGGAATGGGGAGTAGCTGTTAATGGGTTTGGAGTTTCTCTTTGGGGTGATGAAAATGATCCCAAATTGACTGTGGTAATGATTGCACAACTCTGAATATACTAAAATCCACTGAAGTGTACACTTTAAATGAATAAATTGAATGGCATGTGAATTATATCTCCAGGAAAAAAATGTTCTTTTTAAAAGGCAAAAAGATAAATCTATTCAACAAGTATATAGATCATAAAATCAACTTTTAATGTTTGAATTATTTGGTCTGCTAGATTTGATGCATGCTAGATGTGAAATGACATCAAGCTTAAAAAATCACCCATGATTTCTACATTTGTTTTCTTCAATGGGACAATATTTGAATGTTGCCATTGGGGGTGGGGTGGGGGTCTGGGATTATTTGGAGTGACAGTAGGTCAACCTAATTATTCTACTGCAAAATAATTTAGCTGAAAAACTGGACACTTATAATGACATAGGCAGCTAGGAAGGATCAGAAAATGTGCTGGCAGCATGAATATTACTCATCAGACAAATAGAAACTTCCCCACCTTACCTGCTGAGATTTAGAACACTTAAAGTCTTTATGTTAAAGGTACCCTTCAGGTTCACAGGAACAAACTTAAAGGACACATGGTCATAGACTAAGGGGAGGGTGGTAATGGCAGGGAAGTGGGGAGGGTGGGAGGGGGGACTGGATTGGGAGTAAAAAGGAGAAAACTGTATTTGAACAATGATTAAAAAAATAATAATTAAAAAATAATAATTTGAAAAAAAAATAAATAAAAAAAATAAAGGTACCCTTCAGAAATTCTCACTATCCACAGGGAAATTATAAGATGTTAACAAGTCATTCTAATGCTAGCTCTACTAACACATGATTTACCAAAAACACACACAAACACACACACATACACATTTTTTTAAAGTCCAACAAATAATTGCACCCTAAAATGAAGGTAATTAGGCTCAACTGAAACAATGCAATCTGAAACTGCATGAAAGCAAAACTTATTCAAATTTTAAGAGTATGTCATAGTGTGAATATATACTTCTTAAATTAGTTAATAGTATACATTAAAATTTTAAAAGAATTGATGTGCCCTTTATTGTATTTTTTAAATTTTGCTATTAACATGCTGAAGCAGTTGTTTTTTCAACAAAATGCTTCTCTATTCTAACCAAGTTACAGCATATCTTTCATGTAATACACGTTTTTACTTCATAGGCCCTGATAATCACCTACCAAAAATAAAATTACTGATAATCATGTTTCTCTTTCCCGAAATACTAGACAAACAAATGAACACTAGAATTGCCCTTTCCAAATCATAACATACAGCCCACAATCCACAGCTGAGTCAATCACAAGATAATGCAGGATACACTCAAAACCAGAGCCCTCCGTGGTTCTATCAAGTTGAGCCATCACCATAACACATGAAGTCACGCAAGGTGGTCGAGATCACAGGGGCTCTGGAAAGCACTGGCAAGATACCGACACCACTGAGTGGGTAGTGATTACAAGAAGAAAACATCCTCCCCACACCTTCCCACTTCCTTCCTTCCTTCCCCGAAGCATTGTGGGGGCTTTCCGCTACTGCCCCCCACCCGGAAACGGAATAGCGACCATCTTCCCTGCCGCCCCCCCTCCGCCGGAAGTGGGGCAGACCCTGCCGGCACACTCACGCTGGAAGAACAGGACGCCCACCAGTGGAAGCAGAATGCAGCCATGACCTCGCGACGCTCCGCGTTGCCGCATCCCGACAGCTCTCCAGATGCTTGTACACCTTGTTTACCTCTCCCCGTAACGTCGCAGGTAACAGCGGAAGTGACGGAGGCGACGTAAAACAGGTGGCAGCGGAAACCCTTAAAATGGTGATTCAAAGTTGCCATGGGAACATGGGTTTTTTTCCAGACCCACATTTTCACTGACCCGCGAATATTTAGTTCTCAAGTAGGAGTTTATTCTCTTTTGCTTGAAAATGAGATAGGATACAGACTTGGCGAAATTTACTATTTAATTTTATGGAATCCTGTGGACAAAATAGTCTTATTCTCTGACTCTATTCCGGAAAGTTGGTTTTTCTTTTTTATACTTCCTTCAGATTATTTTATTTGAATGCTCCCAGAATTTAGAATTCAAAATTTAGATTTTCTGTAAAGTTAGAGTTCAGAAGGACCTAGGAGATAATACAGGATATGTATTAGGCCTTTGTGGCGAATTTGAGCCTTAAGTCTCCATGTGCTTTTTTTTATATAGCTATTACATATTCCAGCTCAGCACCGACCTGAATTGGGTGTTTATTAAATTGCTGTTGACATTGGCAATGATATAATCATTACAGCATGTAATGGAGGGGAAAGGAAACTGGTATTTGTATAGCGTTTACTTGGAAAACAGAAAGCAATGTTTTCACAATGGTTGAAATTAAGAGATGGTGTCATGCTTCTGAAAAAGGAATGATACACTACTTTAATTATTATTGAACCTGGCATCTCTGTATATTTACTGAAAATAAGAGGGAAACAAAATTCTGCTTCAGCTTTTGAGAAAGTTATAATTTGCCATTTTTCAACTCCCATTCCTTGACTAGATTTGAAAGCAGGTAGTTTTCACCATTAAGAAGGTATTATAAGAGTACCAAGTGGAATAGATGATACTGTTCCTTTGAAAGAATCCCCAACTAAGTAGTATGTTGTACCAGATTCTGAGTTATCCAAAGCAAAGTGAAAATTCTGTGAAACTCCGTATAGGTTTATTTATCCAGTAGAAATTAATTCTATCCTTTATTGACTTCCAGGCTGCTGGTGAGAAGAGTTTTTGGTGATGATAAAAATATGTACCTATCCATTTTCTGTTACCTGCTATGTAAAATTTATATTTGTAGATAAAGCAAATTTTGTAACTATTAATTTTTTTATTGCTCAAGGTATTTACATAAATGTTTAAGGCACACTAATATTATAAATTACAGCTCTGGCTGGTATGGCTCAATGGGTTGAGTGCTGGCCTATAAATCAAAGGGTCACTGGTTCGATTCCCAGTCAGGGCACATACCTGGGTTGTGGGCCAGGTCCCCAGTAAGAGGCCAGTGAGAGGCAACCACACACTGATGTTTCTCTCCCTTTTTCCCTCCCTTCTCCTCGCTAAAAATAAATAAAATCTTTTTCAAAAATTAAAATAAAATTATAAATTACAGTACAGAATTTCTCTTTAGGAAGAAGACACTGAACAAAAGAGCCACTATTAATCCTTGAGTATTTTAGCAAAGACACAGCTATTAAATTTTTCAGGAAAGACATTCCATGAGTTTTTAACTACTTCTTCACTATATTTATGGAACATTATCCAAGCCATCTGTTTGAAGAAATATCCAGTTTTTATATTTTGAAAGGGTAAATTACCGAGAAAAATAGAAAATGTGAATGGAAAGTAATATAGACCTGAAAGTTAATTTTTTGTTTCAAAACTGGGTATTGAAACTTTATTTCTTTAAACAGTGTAATAGGCAAAACAAGACATATATGGAATGTATTTGAGAATTAAGGTTTGTCTGTTAATTATGCCAATTTTTTAAACTACCAGAAAAAATATGAAAGTTCAACATCTTTAAATTTGAAAATTCCAGTTCGTAAAAAGATACATCTTCAGCTCAGTCAGTTAAAGCTGAGAATATCATGTTGTAAAGATTTTTGGGAGGCCTAAACTTTTAGATGTTTTCTGTCCTTTGAATAAATTCTGGTATAGCTTATGTTTGAAAAGAAACCAGGAAACTAGACCCTTTTTAAAAAGCTCTTTTCACCCTGTGGTGTAGCTCAGTGGATTGAGCTCAGGCCTGTGAATCAAAGGATCACCTGCTGGATTGCCAGTTAGGGCACATGCCTGGGTTGCGGGCCAGGTCCCAAGTAGCGGGTGCATGAGAGGCAACCACACATTGATGTTTCTCTCCCTCTCTTTCTCCTTCCTTTCCCCTCTCTCTAAATATATAAATAAATAAATAAATGAATGAATGAATAAATAAATAAATAAATAAAATAAACATTTTTTTTAAAAAAGCTCTTTTCAGAGCCCACTTACAAAGTGTCCTTTATCTACTGATATACGGGGGAAAAAAGAATAAAGTTCATTTCAGGAAAAAAGGATAAAGTTCATTTCATTCTGTTAGTTTTGGTATTTCTTTGCCCCATTCCAAATTCTCTCCCCAAACAAGCAAATTAAAAAGACAAAGAAACAAGTTTAAATCTCTTCCAAGCCTCAGAGCTCTGTATAACACTGGACAAAATTATTATCATTTAGGGTTGATTGTTTTTTCACCAGCCCTAAGTTCTTAAAGTTATAAGATACTATTCCAGAATTCTATTTAAACTGCTTAATGATTCCAGCTTACAAATTAATGATCATAGACTTTGCTTTTTTGTGATAGATAATGTAAATGGGGCAGGGGGAAACAGGGAGGACACAGTAAGCTAAGCAGTCATTCACTGCTCAAAAAAGACCTGCATTGTGCAGTACAGAAAAAAAGGTGACAAGCAGTTCATCCTGAGGGTGGCATTTGTCAATCTATTAGCATATAGGTAACCTCTTGTTAGTTACTCTGTGATTTGTACTGGCTCTGTGGTAAGATCAACTGACCAAAAAAAAGAAAATATCATCTAGGATACTAAAATTCAATACAAGATTTGTCTCAGGTTTAAGGACAGCCATAAAAATCAAACTGTTCTTTAACAGTTTAAACACAAGATTTTCTGTTAATCACAAACAGCTGGGAGAAGTAGCTCACTTTTAATTGAGAATGTGAGGACGAAAAAGTAAACACATTAAATTTAGTAGCAAAAGTGCTGTTCTAAAGAAACTAATATGGAAAAGAAAATATCATGATAGACAAATTGGCTTTTATCCCATTTGCTGCCAGTATGTGTATATACAAGTCATAATCTACAAAGCAGTATTTAAGGGCAAAAATGTTGCTTTATAATATACAAAAGCTAATTTGAAATTATTTGCACTCTAAAATTAAATAAATCCTTAGTAATAAGCCTGGATGTGAGTCTGGAGGTATCTGCTCACGAGTGGCCCTGTGCTGGCTCCAGAGGGGTATTGCTTGTCTAGGTGGATAGGTACTGTAGAGCTGGTTAGAAGATGGGTCACAACTGAAAAAAGACAAAGAAAAGCTTCCATCAACTTCAACTTATCCCAGGGTTGTGGTTCTTAGAAATCTTCAGCCTCCTGAAATACAAAAGTTTAAATGGATAATGCATTTGGGCAGAGTGCATTAGAAATACCTAGCATTATGAATTACATACATATCATTAGATCTATTATTCATTGTGTACGAGAACACATATTCATTTATTAAACATATTTATTCTCCCCCTAATCTAACTTTTAAAAGAAGTTTCCTGATCCTTATTCTCAGAGTCAGTGTCTTTAATTCATAGTCACTGCCTTGTGTGGACACTTGGATGATCCATAGCTCATTCATACAAACATTTCTTCTCTTTCCGTCCCTCCCTTCCTCCCTTCCTTTTATTATAAGCAAAATCAAACATAGAGAAAAGTAGAGAAGGCAGCAATTCACCCATCACATAATTTAAAGCATTTTGCCTTAATATATATTTTTAGCTGACAAATTACTGACTTTATCCCTAAATGCTCCAATATGTATTTTAAAAATAGGAACATTCTTCTGTATAACCACAATATCTTTATTATACCTAATAAAAATTCATAATTCCACAATATTATCCATATTCAAACATTTTTCAAGACTTTCCCAGTTATGCCCCTAAATCTTTTTACAACTAGTTTATTCAAACTAGTATTCATCCAGCCAGGGATCACACGTTACACTTGATTCTGTTAGTTCATTAAATTCTTTAAACATAAAAGAGCCACCATCTTATTTTTCCATGACTCACATATTAAAGAATTGCCTTGATTTTAAAAATAAATAGCCCTTGGTAAAATCTCTCTGATGCTAAATTTGTTTTCGTGGGTTTACAATAGAATCATTTCTCCCCATATTCTATTTTATAAATCCTTAAGGTCTTTCACTGGAGTTTTAGGCTATTAAAAGGTGACTTCTTTGGCAAATAATAATAGTGGACCTATTTCAAAGAATAGAAGAAATTCTGATTATATTAAAAAATTAAATCATCCTACCTTTTAAGCCCGATAAACCCCAAAACTGGAAAAACAAAATTATATACTACTAAAATTGCATTTGTGGTCCCAATAACTAAATGAGAGGAATTGAAATCCATTCCATATAGTACAATAGTTCTGCCAAAATGTCAGGCACATCTATTGAGTCACTCTCTTAATGTCATGACTGATTTACAATAAAACAAAACAAACATATTAATTCTTTTGTTTAAAATATTTATTTACATGTTGAAAGTTAATTTATGATTCTGGATGAGAAATATAGCCCCCAAAAGCCTCAAATAATATCAGAATTCTCTCAGTTTTAAGGGTCTAGCTTCCTAAAACTTTGTACAAATCACTCTCAAAGGGGAAGCCATCCATAATTACTAATAGACTTTTACTTCCCTGATCCAGCTCCTCTATTTTCATATAGGAAACACCTAATAATCATATAATCTGGGAAGTCTACATTAGAGATGAGCCAGAAAGCTAGGGAAAGAAATTAACCCTTTTGTGAACCTCACCATCTAAGAAAGTTAGTCTGTATCTTCTAAATAAACGGCAACCTTTTTTTCTTGGTTGAGTCTTTCTTCTTCTTTTCTGGAACAACAACAAAAAAACAGGAACTAATGTTAAATGAACAGTACAGGAAGCAAGGGAGGCAACTCTTACAAAGCTTCAGGTAAGATATTTCCCCCCATATTTTGGGAAGAATTACATGTACCTGGCCATAGATCCAAGCTTACAGAGAACTCTATCACTAGGGCCATCTAACTAATAATACTCATGCCTTAACATGACCCTGGGTATCTGAACTCAGACATTTTTCAGAATATTTTTAGAAGGGAATAGTATATTTTGGGGACTCCAGAGATTTAAAGCAGGTACCTTAATTTACCACTAGTATCTTACCTCCAATTCTACTCCTCATTCAAAAAAGAAAAAGTTTTGAGGAGAGGAAGGTTGGGGAACTGGGAGAGAGAGGTGAGGGGATTAAATACAAATTGGCAGTCACAAAATAATCAAGAGGATACAAAGTGTAGAGAATATAGTCAATAATATTGCTATAGCTATGTATGGTGCCAGTGGGGTACTGGAAATATCAAGGGGAACAGTATGTAAAGTATATGATTGTCTAACCACTATGCTGTATACCTGAATACAGCATAGTATTCAAGACAAAATAATATAGAAAGTAAACAGTAGTTGAAAAATTTTAGAAAAAGTTTTGTGTTGACCTATAAATCATCTTTATTGATTATGTTCAATTTAAACCAGGACCTCAGAGATGGGTTCATTAGGCTCCTTAAAATCAGTTCTACTTACTTCAATAAAAATTTCTCAAGGAAAACAAACAAATGGTGCTGGGAGAACCAAAAAAACTGCAACTTGTGCACAAGAATGAATTTGGATTCCTACTTTACACCATGTACAAAAATTAACTCAAAATAAATCAAAGACCTAAATGTACGACCGAAAACTATAAAACTCTTAGAAAAAAAAAAAACATAGGCATAAATCTCCATGACCTTGGGTGAGGCAATGGTGTCTTAGATATGACACCAATATTAGAAGCAACAAAAGAAAAAAATAGATAAATTGGACTTCATCAAAATTTTAAACTTTTGTGCTTCAAAGGACACTATCAAGAAAGTGAAAAGACAGTCCACAGAATGGGAGAAAATCATTGCAAATCATATATCTAATAAGGCACTTTTAGATACTCCAAAATAATTTTTAATTATTTAAAATAAACCCAATTTTTAAGTAGGCAAAACATTTAAATAGATATATCTATAGATATATCTCCAAAATGATATACAAATGGCCAATAAACTCATGGAAGGATGCTCAACATCATTAGTCATTAGGAAAACAAATCAAAACCTCACTGAGAAGCCACTTTACACCCACTATGGCTATAATCAAAAGGATAGACAATAACAGTGTTGTCAATGATATGGACAAATGGGAACCATCATACATTGCTGGTGGCGATATAACATGGTACAGCTGTTTTGTAAAACAGTCTGACAATACTTCAAAAAGGTAAACATACAGTTACCATATATTCCAGTGATTTCACTTTTAGGTATATACTTAGGAGAATTGAAAACATATATGCCTACACAAGAACTTATAGATGTATGTTCATAGCAGCATTAGTCAAAATAGCCAAAAAGTAGGGAAAATCTAAATGTCCATCAATTGAATGAATAAAACAAAATGAGATATATACATACAGTAGAATATTATGCAGCCATAAAAAGTAATGAGTACTACTACATGCTATAACATGGATGAACTTTGAAAACATTATACTAAGTCAAAAAAGCCAGATAAAAAAGGCCACATATGGCATGATTCCATTTATATGAAATATCCAGAATAGGCCAGTCCATAAAGACACAAACCAGATTAGTTGTTGTCAGGGTCAGGTGGGAGGGGAAAATAATGAGTGACAGCTAAAGGGTATGCACAAGTTTCTTTTGGGGGTGATGAATATATTCTGGAACTAGTGGTAACTGAAATATTTAAAAAGTGAATTTTATAGTATATAAATTTTATCTCTAAAAAATATTTATTGAGCACCTTATTTCCACATGGCTGACTTTCCTAGGTACTGACTCATAGTGCCCTTGCTGACTGGCCAGTGATTTTTAGAAATGTATGTGTTACAATAAAACTAATGAGTATTCTGCCATGACTGGTGTGGCTCAGTGGATTGGGCATCATCCCACAAATCAAAGGGTCATGGGTTCAATTCCTAGTCAGAGCACATGCCTGGGTTACAGGCCAGTTTCCCAGTTAGGGGCAACTGATCAATGTTTCTCTTGTGCGTCAATGTTTCTCTCCCTTTCTTCCTCCCTCCTTTCCCCTCTCTGTAAAAATAAAGTAAGCAGTATTCTAAAAAAGGTTTACATAACAGATTTTTGAAATTTTTTATACAATATTATATTAGTTTCAGGTGTACACCCTAGTGATTAGGCATTATATCTTACTATATGATCATCCCAATAAATCTTGTACTCATCCGATATAACAGATTTTAATAATCTCAAATCCTCTATAATAGAGAAAGGCTATAATGAAATCTGTAAAATTAAGAATCCTTTTGTAAAATTACTAATTTACACCCTAATTTATCCATACTGGGAATCTGAATTATTTCATATAAGATTTATTCAAAGGAAAGACTATCTGTTCATTATTTAGCCTCATTGTAAAACACCAAGTGTCACCATACAAGAGTATTAAAAGATTTTCCCATAAATTTCACAAATGCAAAATGTGAAATGTTTCAGCATGTGTATGTACCTGAGAAACTATCACTACAATTAAGATAGTGAATATGTCCAACAACAACACGAGGGACTCCTTGTGTCCCTTTAGCACTCTTTCCTCCCAGTCCTTTCTAAACTCGTTTCTCATGATTCACAAGCAGCAGCAAGCATTTCCTAAAATTTTATGTAATATGCTATCTGGGGAGTAGGGACTCTGGCTTTTTAAATTAACTTTGACTAGTTTGAGATTAATCCATCTTGTTACATATATCAATAGTATGTTCATTTGTATTATTGGGTGTTATTCCATTGTATGGATATACCACAATTGTTTTTTATCCTTTCAGCTATCAGTGGATATTTGTGCTGTTTCCAGTTTTGGGCTGTTACAAATAAAGCTGCTGTGAATATTTGTGTACATGTTAAAAAAAGATTTGTCCAGCCTTACGATTTTATCTCCACCACTTTATGAGCTCTTTCAGCCCATCGTTTTTTCTGGAAATGCTGAAAGAGGACCACCACAATGACTATTATGACCATCAATGCACAGGCGGAGCCAATGGCCAGAGCCAGGAAATACATCTCAGAGAAGCGTACTGTAAGGAGAAAAAAGGTCAAGTTAGGGTTCTATAAAAGAGAAGGATTATGAGAAATCTAAAGATATAATAAGGATGTGTTGTTATCATTAAATGGAATCTTTCTTCTGACATGTTTCCTTGTAAATTCTAGTAGCAATAGGAAGGTCATGCAGACTACTTCAGTGGTTCTCAGGCTAAAGTCCTAGGAGTAGCAGCAACAGAACTTTGAAACACAAATTATCAGGCCCCACCCCAGACCTACTGAATGACAGGTGGAGCTGGCAATTTGTTTTAACAAATCCTGTAGGTGATTCTGATGCAAGCTAAAATTATGGGAACTACTGGGCCAGCTGTGTAAGGTTATTGCTGACCTAATCAATCCAGTGCCCAAAGTCTCCCTAACTATCTTTGCCATTCATTTCGTCATTTATTCAAATTTATTAAGGGCCTACCATGTTCCAGGCACTAATGGAAATATCAAGCCAAAAAAGGACATTACCTTTAAGGAACTTATACCCACTGGGAAGATGAAAGGGTAAGTCAGTAACTACAGCCATCCATCATTAACAATAGGGATACATTCTGAAAAAAGCACTGTTAGGCAATTGTATCACTGTGCAAACATCATAGAGTACACTTACACAAACCTAGATAGCAGAGCCTACTACACTCCTTGGCTTGTGGATTAGCCTATTGCTTATAGGCTACATACCTCTAAAGCACATTACTGTACTGAATCCTGTAGATAATTATAACACAATGGTCAGTATTTGTGTGTCAAAACATATCTAAACATGCAAGAGGTACAATAAAAATATGGTATAAAAGATTAAAAATGGTACACCTGTATGGGGCACTTATGAATGGATCTCACAGCATTAGAGGTTGTTCTAGGTGAGTCAGTGAGTGAGTGGTGAGTAACATTGAAGGCCTAAGACATTATTATACACCACAGTAGACTTTATAAACACTGGACACTTAAACTACTCTAAATTTATTTTAAAATATTTTCCTTCAATAAATTAACCTTAGCTTACTGTAACTTTCTTACTTTATAAACATTATATTTTTAACTTTTCAACTCTTGTAATAAGACAGCTTAAAACACAAACACATTGTACAGCTGTACAAAAGTACTTTCTGTATATTCTTATTATCTAAGCATTTTTCTATTTTTAAATTTTTATTTTCTTTTTAAACTTTTTTGTTAAAAACTAAGACACAAACACACACTAGCCTATGCCTACAGAGTCAGGATTGTCAGTATCACCATTTTCCACCTCTACATCACATCCCACTAGGTCTTTAGGGGCAATAACACACACAGAGCTGTCATCTACAACCATGCCTTCTCCTGGAACGCCTCTTGAAGGACCTGCCTGAGGCTCTTCTTGAGGAGGTATCACTCTTTTCAGAAATATGTCCATGGCATTTTGCTTGGTTTGTTTTTTTCTCATCATGAATTTGCTTGTATACAGATAATGTGCCATGAAGATTCCTCTCTATTAATGAAAACCTTTCAGTGTTGTCCCTGTTTTTAAGCTTTTTAAGGAGCTTACTGAGGTCTGCAAAAGCTTCCACTAAACCTTCACTGTAAATTTTTTGTGGGTTCTTATTCTTCTCCTGTAGTTTCCTTTTCTCTTGCCTCCTCTTCAACCATGTGTTGCTGTTCCAGCTCCAACAACGCCTCATTAGTCAATTCCTTAGGAACCACATCTAGGACCTCCAAAAGTCATCCTTATCCACACTCAGGTTAAAGTTGTTTGCCATCTCAACCACAGCCTTATTTTTTGCAACCTATGTGCTATGGTGTAATGATGGCTACAACATCACTGAGTGATAACAATTTTTCAGCTCTATTATAATCTTATAAGACCACCATTGTATATGTGGTCCTTTGTTGATTAAAACATCATTAAGTGGCACAGGACTATATAGTATAGTGGGTAAATGATGCAAGAGGGAACCTAGAGGTAAAGGTCCCTAAACCAGCTAGAGTCTGTGAAGCCTGGGTCTCCTGTCTTTTAGCTTGATTTAAACTTCAATAAACCCTCAGAACCAGGAAAGACATTGGAGAATATCTAGTTCGGGGGTTCCCAGCCTAGATACCATGAAAGAGGGGGGAGAGGAGAACACAAGCCCACAAAATCCATGTCATATTTTGTGTGTGTACATTTTGGGGTGGTGGGGAAGGAAGGCTATGAATTTCATGAGATCTCAAAGAGCAGTGATCTCATGTTTAAGAACCATGTGTTCTTGTCTAATCTGTTCATTTTTCAGATGAAGAAACTGAGGTCCAAAGGTATGACATTACTTTCAACACTCAGATCACTTTTCCAAAGTCACAGCTCTCTGTTGATAGGGCTTTGAAGGATAGTACTAAGAATGAATGGAGGAAATCATACCACTTTAAAGGGTAATAATATTGTGTGTTGGTTAAGAGTGCATGCCAGAGAAAGCTAATTTCAAATATCAGCTCCACTATTTTAGCTGTGTCTTTGGGGTAATAATTAACTTCTTTAAGTGTTAGTTTCCTCAATGTATAAAACAGAGATAACAATCTCCATTTCTTGCATTCTTATAAAAACTAAAATTATTCATTTAAATTGTTCTATGCTGTGCCTGCACATAATAAACACTCAATACATAGTAGCTGTTACAATTTTCAATACAATTCAGAGTTTGGGAAAATTTTACATTATGTCATTTTATCCTCATTAATCCTTGCTATATTATTTTTACTTTACTGGAGAGGGAGAAAAAAGATGTATTTACAGCTAGTAAATGGTAGCTTTTACAGATCCAAATTTACAACTCTGAAGTTTTATGGTCTTTGCACTTTGTTATGTGGCAGAGCTTCCCAGGTTGTCCTTTATAGACTATGGGCAATAACAATGCATTAGTTTGGAGCACAATTCTGGAGTCAAAGATGCTTGGATTTGAGTCCTGCGTGACTCCTTTTATCAACTACATGACTTTGGACAAGTGACTTAACCTCTATTAGCTTCAGTTTCCTTTTAGTAAAATTGGGGGGAGGTACTAAGAGCACAGTAACCTGACATGATATGTAAAGATTAAATAAAATATGCAAAGCCCCTAACACAACTCAATAAACAACAGCTACCATTATTGGTATTGGCCTCTTAGGGTGGTTGTAAGGATTAAATGAGAGTAATGTCGAGCACTTTGGACAGTACTTTACAGAGGAGGCACTCAATAAGCACCATGTAAGTAAGTGAGTGAATGAACAAACCTATTGTTACCCTTTTATCAGAAAGTTGCTTCCTTTCCCTTTTACGATCTCAGTGCCATTTTTGTAACAGATTCCCTAGGTCCCTTTGCTTTACTTCCTGTTTCTTTCCACAAACAAAGCCATTCTCTTTTTGCCCCAGGATTCTTCACTTTCCCTCCATGGTTTCTAGATTTGAAGGGTTTAGTCCTCCTCTCTGTTCTTCCAGCCATCACAAAAGATGCCCCTCTCTTTTCTACAATCTCTTACACTTACCAAAACCGTTTCCTCTGCGTAACCTACCAGTTTGCACAACGCTGAGCCGGATCTCCCCTACAAGCCCGTCAACATCAGGTGGGTTCTTCACCTGGCAGGTATATGTCCCATTGTCATCAAACTGCAGCTTCCAGAGGATGATAGAGACATCATAGCGCTCAGGGTTCCCATCCCAGACTACCCGGTCCTTGAACCGTCCACTCATGGGTTTGAAGGGATCCGCATGATAATAGAATACCTAGAAAGGAGAATTGGGAAAAGGTCATTCAGTGCCTGGGCAACGAGGCTGAGAGGGTGGAGGCAGAAACACCAGCAAGCCTCATTGCCCTATCTGTAGCTCTCTTGCAAGAACTTTCTTTCCATTTCACTGGCCTCTCAGTCTCAGTTCTGTCAGTCTCTGTCCCAAGAATTGTTCCGAGCTTTACCCTCCATTGCTAAAAAGTGCAGGAAGGGCAAGGAGAAATAGACCGGCTTGTTTTCCTAACTATAGATCCCCTACAAAATGACAATAATCTACTTACAAACTGCTCAGATCCCCCATCTTGGGGACGGAAATTCCAAGTCACTGTCAGAGCATCACCTACAGGGGCAAAGCTGGAAAAAGTGCATTTTAACCGAACATCTGTCCCGTTAACAGCCTCCAGCACTCCAGAGGTGTAAATTTCCACAGCTGCTATAGGCCAAAGAGCTGCAATAAAGAAAAGGAAAAGAAGGGTTAACCTGGGTGTGTGTAGAAAGAGAACTGCTGACTCAACCAAAGTAAATGTTTAGGGCATAAAACAACTGAAATGACCCAGCTCTCATACTTTCTTTTTACCCAGAGTCTGCATGCCTATCTATATACTACCTTGACCCTCCCTTTCTGTGTAACAACTAAAAATACTTCACAGTGAACTTCTTTAAGTGCTCTCACTTTCTCCACAGTATGATATGCTAGCCTCACGGTGCCCACTTCAAAACTACAAACATCAGCAAATAAAAATTGAAAGCAGAAACAAAAATGTAATCATAACATGAATTACATATGTATACAAGTTAAGCATTCTGTATTGTATGTTTAATGGTCCTTTAGCAGGTAAGTTTTCCAGAAAAGTTTCTTGTTATGTGGATTTTGCACTATTCCTACTCTTCTGCAGAAATTAAATTAATCAACCCCAGAGAGTTTATGCTTGCCTGAACTCCTGAAACATACCAAATGGCACTTTTTACCATGATATTTACATTTAGAATGCACATGTTGGGGCAGTTTCAAAACCACAGTGGAGCTCTCTCCTTAACAATTTTGGCCTTCCCAGTGCCACTGAGAGTCTCATAAAAGACTCACACACAGAAATCCAAATGCCAAGTCCCGCCTGCAGTGAGAGATTGAAAGTAGCCACAAAAGAATGGTTTGTAATCTGAGATTTGAAAGCCCTCTCTGTGCCTGAATCACTGGCAGCTGAAACACACCTAAACCTGTTTGTCCAAAAGCAGTTCCCCCAAAACAAGTCACCAACTTGGTTTCTGTAAACTCAAAACTAAAGTGAACTGCAACTGTGGCTCAGGCTCAAAAAACAAAACAAAACAACAAAAAACCTCTTGTGATTCAATAGACAATTAGCTAACTTTCCAGGATAGTCAATGAGGGAGGAAATGCTGAGGGAAGCCCACCAGTGAGCTTACCTGTGAGCTGTATGCCAAGAAGCACAGCACGCATAAGGCTCTTGCCATACATGAGGGAAACCCAGCCCTGACCGGAGAGACCAGACAAGGCAGACTGAGGGCTCCAACACCCTCTCAAGGCCGTTCCCAAGGAGTGAGCACCCGAATTTTCCCAGAGAGAGAAGTCAGTCTCTCACCTATGGGAATCTGAGCGCCTGTGTCTGTGACTCATTCCTGCTCGGCTGGTGCAGTTTGCTGGAATGAAAGGTGGGGCCTCAGCTCCCAACGCCCTCCTTCCCTCCTTCCTTTCCTCCCTCCCGCCCTCTCTCTACGCTTTGAACGTGTCTGCACAAAGTCCCAAACTCTGCAGTCCTCTCTTTACTTTTTAGTTAATCTGGCCTCTGGCCTCTGGATGGCCTCAGAAACAGCGGGAAGAGGTGGTGCCAGTCTGAAATGTCCCATGCTGCTTTGGATTTAGCCCAGACAAACTTTTTTAAAAAAACGGGCTTTAGCCTTGCTTGGAAAGTGCATGTTCAAACTAACTTGCAGTGATTTAACTTTCTAAAGCACCTCCCTAAGGCTATATTAGCCTAGGGCCAGATTCACAACAACTCAAATCAGGATTCCTTAGCACCCTCTGTGGACAAAACGTCCTACAGTTTACACCCTAATTTTAACCAAATATTACCATGAGGATTTCTGAGCCTTTTCTAGCTTGTAGCTTTCCCTAAGATACACCTGAAATAAACTGACCAAAACAAATCTTAAAGTTTAATCAGCCTTCACTTTTGAAGGATTTAAAGAATCAAGATATTCATGCTTATTTACCCTACCATCTCAATACAGTTTGCAAAGTGCTTTTCTGTTTATTTCATCTCTATAATACTCCTATGGGGTATACTCATTTTATCAGTGAGGACACTCAGACCCCAGAGGAGGTAAGTGATTTGCCCAAAGTTGTGATGGGGGAACTCAAGAATTAAAAATTTGTAGCTTTAGTTATAGTTAATAGGTTTAGTGATTAATGCATGTAGAAAGCTGTTGTTCCAGGAACTGCAATGCATGACCAGAAACATACTGACTCCAGGAGGCCTGCAAGCAATTCAACTTTTATGCCCTAGGAGGACTGCAAGTGATCAAAATGTTATCAGAGCCATTGTGCTACCAGGAGAGAATGTCTACTGACCAGAATGCAGATAAAGAATTGCTGGCCAGCAGATGAAGGGATACTAAGAAAATTGCTGGACTGCAACTTTTATCTGATTAACCTTTTTCTTGAATTCCAAGCCTGTTACATACACTTTTCTTTTCATTGTAAAAAAAGGTAGGCTTGGGATGAGATGTTAAGATGTTTTTAGGGTACATAACCCACTGTCTTCTCTGATTGCTGGCATCTAAGTAAAGTGCCCATAAAGATTCAATCTTTGTCTCTAATTATTGGTTCTGATAGTGAGAGGCAACACGAATGCCAACTTTTCCAGTTTCACATTCTGGTGACTGTATTGGGACTGGTTTGGGATTCTCTGGTAAGTCTGGATATTTTACAGGGACTCCTGTTGGTTACCTACACTGGAGGACCTCTGGGGTGCAGATTTGGAGACCCCCTAGCAGCTACCAAGTGATTTTACTTGGGAACTCTTCTCCAACTCTCAGCACTCCCTATTCACCTTTACTTTCAATTGAATTGCTGTGCTTTCTGGTTCAGGATTACAGTTCCAGGTCATGATGTAGATCGGTCATCAGGAATAAAAGTGCCTTCTGGTTTATGTGATATTACAGAGCTCTGTCTTTTAGAGTGTAGTAAGAGCTAGGAAACAGCCCTTTGGGGCAAATTTTTACTGAGTGGTTGACATATGCTTATGAACCTATGACTAAAAAGAAAATGATTTTTTCATTGTAATACTGTTTGGCTTATTTATATTTTGGACTCAAGAAAGTACTGGACTCTGAAATCATCTTTAAATTACTATATTATACTGCAATTAGAGTTGTTTTTTCAAAGATCAGGGAAATGGTACAGGCTTTATGGCTTTGCATAATAAAGATGCAGGATTAAAAATAAATAGATAAATGGTTCAGAAAAAAGGGAATTTGCCTGTGGCAGACAGCAGAAGCTCAGAAGAGAGGAACCAGGAAGAACAGGATATTATGGCTGCTGTGAGCATGGTCAGGGTTCCCAAAGCCCTTCCACAACTGGGTGATTTTCTCCTGTCTCAGCTGAGAGAGCCAGAGGAGGTGAGCCTAAACTAATCTCTCGGTTCCAAACCCATCAGGGAACCAAATTCAGTGGAGGACAATCCCCTACCTGGGCAGGACAATACCATTTACAAAGACTTCCAGTGGGAGTAGGACCAGAGAGCCAGCTCACTAGATATTATTGGGCACATACTCCGTTTTCTACATCAGATTTGTTAAACTGAGAACACTTAAATCCTTCTTATAGGAATGATCATACTAAAATAACTGACTTAGTTATGTCAGTTTTTGCTACTACCATCCCAACTGGTCAAATATACAAGCCTTGCTATATTTTACTTATGGAGGATGAGCAGAGGTTGATATTGGATAGGCAAATGAAGAGGTTCAGAGGAGACTGTATCAAGAAAATCCAGATGGGGCTCCCAACCCTACTAAGATAATACCTTTAATCGAGCCCAAGTGGGACCATAATGAAAATGGCCTTCCTCTCTTAGAGCATTATAAGAGGTGTATTCTTGAGGGACTGAAGAAAGGAGTCCCTAAGCAGAAAAGTCTGAATATTGTTCAGGCAGTACAACAAAAGCCCACAGAGGACCCCTTGGAGTTTCTTGATAGAATCTACGAGGCCTGCCCTGGCTGATGTGGCTCACTGAGTTGGGCAGCATCCCATAAACCAAAAGGTTGCCAGTTCAATTCCTGGTCAGGGCATATGCCTGGGGTGTGGGCCAGGTCTTGAGCTGGGGGTGTGTGGGAGACAACTGATCAATGTTTCTCTCCATCTCTATCTCCCTCTCTTCCCTTCACTATAAAAATAAATAAAATTCTTTTTTAAAAAACATACCAAGCCTACAGAAAGTAGACTGATTTGGGTCCTCAAGCCCCTGAAAATATTAGAATGGTGAATTTGACCTTTATCTGTCAAAATGCACCTGACATCAGAAAGAAACTTGAGAAGCTGGAGGAATAGGCAAGAGTCCTTCCCAATTAGTAGACATTGCCTTAAAAGTTTATAATAACATTGAACAAAAAAGGGCCCAAGCAGCCACTATTTTCCTGGAATAGGCCTCAGGGAAATTACATTGGCAAGCAAGAGGATTCCAACTCCCATCTAAAATGCTTGCCATTGATCAATGCATGTATTGCAAAGGAATGGGGCACTGGAAAAATGAGTGCCCCAAATGAGGGAAAAGGAAGTTAGAGTTTGAGAACTTGAGAGTTATGTTGAGGAAAGGAAACTACTCTGACAATGAATGATGGAGCCCAGAGGTTCAATAATTGCAACAACCTATTAAAGTCACCCCCCGCAGGAACCTTAAGTAAACTAATGGTGGGGGGCAAATTGTAGACTCTTTGATTGGTAGCAGAGCAACATATTAAGTGGTCAATAGAACTCTGAGTCCTTGTGGCAAACTGTAACTATAACTGGAATCTCTGAAGTTCTGAAAGCCAATTTTTCTTGAAGCCATTAGAATGTGCTATGGGAGATAAGATTTTAACTCATAAATTTTCATATATTTCTAAGTGTCAAATTCCTACTCTGGAAAGGGATTTGCTGTCCAAACTCCGTGCACAAATCACTTTCTCTCCAGAAGAACAACAGCTCCACCTATAGGTCCCTCCAGAGCACACCTGGCAGTTCCTTATGAAACCACGGGAAGAAGAAGAAAAGCGATTGTGGCCAGAAGAATTTGAGAATCAGGTAAACACCATTGTGTGGACTGCTGGAAAAGCCAGAGAGGGCTAAGCAAGCATCCCCTGTTAAAGTTGACCTCAAACCAGGGGTGAGGACTCCAGGTAAGAGGCTATATCCCTTGAGAAAAGAGACCCTAGAAGGAATATGCCCAATAATTTAGAAGTTTTGGGAATATAGATTTATTTATCCCTGCTATTCCCCATAAAATATACCCATATTGCCCATTAAGAAGACCCACTCAGAGCATATTGAGAACAGGACACCCAGGGACCAGTGCTACAGTGCTGGCCATACAGAAACTTTTTTTAAAAGGAGAGCTGAGGTGAGATCCAAGGCTTCAAAGGAACCCACATCTTGCAGGCCTGTGTGTGAGGGTGGGGCACAGCAGCATTGCTAACCAAAAAAACTCAGAGGCAGAGAATACACTGAAGGAACAGGAGGACCCAACCCAGCATGGCTCATGAGAGGACCGCAGCTCAGAATGGAGAACTCAGGCTGGACCTCCTGCAAGAGAGCAGCAGGCCTGGGTCTTGAAGACAGGAACTGAGTGTCTGAGATTTGCTGCAGTCGGCCAGATCCTTTCACAGACTTGAACCCAAACCCCGCCTGTGGGATTACAAGCTCCACAGATCAGTTAGGCCAAGGTCAGGAGTTTCCTGCTACATACATTTCCTCAGGCTCCAATCTACTAAATCCAGCAGAACAGAGAAAATAGAGACAGATGCAACAAGGTACTATATTCTTTCCTGCAGAGCTGTTTAACATTCATTTCATATCCTTCAAGTTTGGGAATAATATGGCACCAGGTTTTATAATATAGTTTATTTCAAATCTCATTTATTGTTCTTCCCTTCTCTTACTCCATAATACCTCCTTCCTCCCTCTTCGTATTTTTGTTTTAAGCTCTATTTTCTCTTTTGCTATGACTTGTTTCTATTCTGCACTATTACTATTGCTCTCCTCTCCAAACTCTCAAAACCATTTGTGATTGTCATTAGTCATCTCACATTTCTTTTTCCATTCTTAAAATACCACTACTCTCTCTCCACTTTTATCAACCTTTACTCATAGGTTGTGGATAAGGAGGTTGTTGTTACAACTTCTTTAATCTTATTTCTAGGAAGTTACTACATTTGTATTTCAAATCTCAAATTTCACCATTCCCCTCTACTACTCCATTTTGCCTTCCTCCTGCCCTTTCCTTTTTTTATTTTTAAATGCTAATCTTTCCCTGTCTTAGCAGAGTTTTCATCCCATGTCTTTAGTATTCCTTCTCCCTCTATCCTCTCAAAATAACTTCTATTTCCTCTAGACATCTCTTAAGCTCTTCCTTCATTTTTCTCTCTTATTACCATCCCACCTACATAAATCTTA